TTTTTTTTTTTTTTGTGGTACCAGGGATTGAACTCAGGGCCTCGCGCTTGAGAGGCAGGCACATTGCCACTGAGCTAAATCCCTGGCAAAGTTAAATCCAATTTTTTTTTTTTTTGGTATTGGGGATCGAACTCGGGACCTTGCGCTTGCGAGGCAGGCGCCGGAACCACTGAGCTAAATCCCCGGCCCTGGACTGTACTATAGACATCATATTTGACAAATTCCAAAATTCTATGTATTAAATTCTCATGTTTCTTTTCAGGGTTTGTGGATGTAGAAACCCCAACATTATTTAAGAGGACCCCAGGGGTAGGTATATTACTTAAATCATTCTACTAATAATGTTCTAATAGTTATAAAACTCGACCATTTTGGCCGAGGATGTAGCTCAATGGTTCCACCACCAGCCTCACAAGCGCAAGGTCCTGAGTTCAAGCTCTGGTACCGAAATAAAAACTGGACCACTTTGCTTTTATATTCACTTGGTCCACTTTTAAAATTTTATTTCATTTAATTCACTACCTGAGGATGGTCACATTAAGTAGGTTTTCCTAAGAATTGAGAAAATTATGTGGGTCAATATTTTTGAGTCAGAATCCTTTTATTCCATGTAAGTTTTCTTTCCCTTGAGATTTATAAATGCAAACCATTAATAAGTTAGTTCTTCAAAACAAAACCCTTAGGGCCAGGGATTTAGCTCAGTGGTTCTGCCGCCTGCCTCACCAAGTGCAAGGTCCTGAGTTTGATCCCCAGTACCAAAAAAAAAAAAATACACTAAAAACCCTTGTTCATTAATAACTGACATCTCTACATGTCAAAAAATACATATATATATATATGACGTCTATCTTTTCTGTGCTAGGAGCAACTGTCTTTCTATGGCCTGTAACCCAAAAACATCTGCCCACTCCGCTTCCTCTGCATCCGAATCTCAAATCAGGAGTGGCTCTCAGCTGCTGAGCCATCCAGTGTCAGATGAGAGCCTCGGCAGCACTTGTCACTAGCTGTAGCTTCCAGATCAGTGCCATTGCCATTTCGAAGGACATTGATATAGCAGCCAGGTTCATTGGAGCTGAGGCTGCCATGGTGGGGCTGGCCAGCTTTGGGGCCATGATTAGGAGCCTCGTCTTTGCTTGAGTCAAGAACCCTTCTTTGGAGCAATAGTTCTCCTGTGCCTCTCTGGGCTCCACTGCGGCCCTCACCACAGGGCCCTTCTGCCGAATGGTGGCCTGGCTCGTGCTCTTCGTCACGTGAAGGAGCGAACCTCTCTCCACTTGCCACAGTTCTTTCGTCATGTCTCGTCTGCCCTGGATGACTCTTTTCCTGTGCTGCCCCACAAAGCCTGGAGAAAGTAGTTGGCTCAGATAGCCAAAAGGAGGATAGATACTATATAAATAAGAGAAAAAAACCCTGACATTTCTAAACATTCCAATTTTAGTATATGTGCTGCCAAAGCGAGCACGACATTTCTAAACATTAATGTTTATCCAATCTATAGACTTATAAAAACTACAATTTAGAAAAGCAGTTAAGAATTATTTAGGGGGCCGGGGATTTAGCTCAGTGGTTCCGCCACCTGCCTAGTAAGCACAAGGTCCTGAGTTCCATCCCTGGTACCAAAAAAAAAAGAAGAAGAAGAAGAATTACTTAGGAAGTAATGCACAAAATTTGTTTAGCTAGAAACCAAATTGGGAATTCATCTCAACAAGCTTACGTGCGATAACTACTATGTAGAAACAGTATTTAAAGCACACCCCACACACACACCTTGTTACTGGGGATTGAACTGAATGTCTTCACACTAGGCTACATTCCTAACCCTTTTTTATTTTGAGACAGGCTCTCACTAAGTCACTAAATTGCCCATGTTGGGCTTGAACTTGTGGTCCTCCTGCCTCAGCCTCCCAGAGCACTGGGGTTACAGGCGTGTGCCACCATACCCAGCTGTGCAAGTTTTCTTAGATACTGAAAGATGAGCAAGAAGTCATCTCTGTCATTGTGTGAACTTTACTCTTTAATTTCATTGATGAGCTGAAGTATCAACTTCCACCAAGCAATTATACCTTATTTTATGTTTGTTTGTTTGTTTTGTGGTACTGGGGACTGAACCCAGGACTTTGCAGTGTGCTAAATCTTCAGCCCATTTTTATTTTTCATTTTGAGATAGAGTCTTACTAAGTCACTAAGTTACCCAGGCTGGATTCAAAGTTCCCATCCTCCTGCCTCAGCCTCCCAGAGTTCTGGGACTACAGGCATGTGCCACCATGCCCAGCTTTGTTGTTTTTAATGTCTCTCTTCTTACTCTCTCTTTAAAAGGGTGCCAGAGAGTTTTTAGTACCATCTAGGGAACCTGGAAAGTTTTATTCTCTTCCTCAGAGTCCTCAACAGTTTAAGCAGCTTCTGATGGTTGGCGGTTTAGACAGGTGAGTTTTTTTAAATGCTGTTAGTTGTCAAAAAAGGAAAGGGGAGAAAGAAAGAAAGAAAAAAACTCACAAAATTGTCAGATCTCTTAAGAGAAGTTTAGAAAATTTATGAGTTCAGAGAATACTTATTCCCTGAAAACTTACAGTTTAGTGAAGATTTATGGGGTGGCCACACTGTACAAAGCTCTATGATAGTGGGTATGGTGGGGGATTTTTTTTTAAAGAGTTAATGAGACTAATAGGGCATAGCTGGATAATAAAACTTAACTGTGAAATAAAAGTATAAATGCATTTAAAATTTGCAAATTAGGTATTGTTTAAAATTACAGTGTTTGAGAGAATATTATAGAAAGTCTTTTGAGCAAGACTTTCACAGACAGCTGCATTTCAGCAGGTAAAGATGAGACTTGGATTCACACAGCACAGGAAACCTCAGCTGTATTCATAAAGTATTTCAGTTTTCCTGAAGAAAAAGAGTATCTGTAAAGAAGTATGGACTATTAGATGGGAAGTATGCTCATCTAACATGAACATCTAAAATGCCAGAGTGTATTTTGAAAATAATATATAGAACAGTAATTTTTCATAGGTCAGCTGTGTATCTGATTAAAGCATTATTTAAAAATAAAGATTCTAACCAGGGACGGTGGCACATGCCTATAATCCCAGTGCTCTGGGAGGCTAAAGCAAGAGGATTGCAAGTTCAAGTCCCTGGGCTACACACTTGAGTTCCAGGCCACCCTGGAACCCAGTGAGACCCAGTCTCAAAAAAACAAAGAACAAACAAAAAAATCTCATGTCTTTCCAGTGTCATTATTAAATTTATTTGGTAGCCCTAAACTTTTGAGGAAAAATCCATGTGCCTTCCTAGAATCATGACTGACTTAATACTACTTTTTAATTGTAGATACTTTCAGGTTGCCCGATGTTATCGAGATGAAGGTTCAAGACCAGACAGGCAGCCTGAGTTTACTCAGGTACTGAGATATTTACTTGTCTCTTACAAACTCAGGCTTACTACAGCCAAGCATTTTCAAGACTAGGGCTATAATTGCATATACTTTACTATGTATTGCATTTTATCCATCAGATATTTAATCCCCTGACTTGCATTTGAGGCACTCATTCAACTTTTGATCCACTTCATATGTCCTTTTCATAAGGATCATGGTCATCAGTGCCAGAGATTCCTATAGTGTTTTAATGTCACGATATGATAAAATCTTTAAAGCAAATCTCTTGTACATTAAGAGCCAATAATTCTATATATTATGGTGTTTAATCTACTTACCTAATCTACAGGCTTATCAAAGCCATTCTGACTTGGTTTCTATATGATAACACGTGAATCAGTGTGATGAAATGCAAAAATCATAAACTTGGGAATTGGATAGACCAGGAATCAAATGTATCTTTACTACATACTAATTGCAGATAGCAAGCAAGTTTCCTACCCTCTCTGAGCCTTAAGCCATGAGATAACTGAGAATTAAACAAGTATTTACTTATGTAAGGCATTAGTCCAGTGCTGACATAAAACATTTTACAGTATCTATACCCTTTCCACATACTGTTTGTGTGCAGAATCCTGTGGTAGTTTGAGATCTGTGAAATACATAAATTCTAACTATTCCAGTTCTCTTCCCTGTGTTCTTTTGGTTTCAGATTGACATAGAGATGTCTTTCGTAGACCAGACTGGGATCCAGAGTTTAATTGAGGGTTTGCTCCAGTATTCCTGGCCTAGTGACAGAGACCCTGTGGTGATTCCTTTTCCTTCCATGACTTTTGCTGAGGCACTGGCCACCTATGGAACTGATAAACCCGACACTCGTTTTGGGATGAAGGTACTGTTTTCCCTTTCCCAGGACCCTGTGCCCATATGGCTCTGCAGTCCTTTGTTACCTTTGTTGTTACCGAGCTACAGCAAGAGAGAATAATGTGTCTAATGTGTTCCAAGACCCATTTCCAAGATCAAGACTCGTGCTGCAAAGGTTTTATTCCAGTACTTATCAGTTATTAATTATATGGAAAAAGAAACTATTCTTTCCTTTTTAGTTTTTTTAAACCCAAGTAGTACTTGGAAGGCAAATGACTGAGTTCTCAGGGGCTGAAAACCATTCATAGAAATCTGCCTCTGGCTCAGGTTTCATGTATAGCAAAGCAGCTCCCTAACTGCGAGCTACTGAAAGTTAGCTCTCCACACAAGGTTTTGTGAAAAAAAAGTAGAAAGCGTATTTTAATTTTCTAAATTTAAAAATGGATGAACAAAATAAAAGAATATTTTTAATTTTAAAATAACATAAAAAATAAATTTTTTTAAAGTTCAAACATATGAAGACGTTTATTCAAACTATTAATATTTGTAAGTATTTAGGACCAAGTGTATATAGAGGAGTCTGATACCAGGATCCCCCTATATTTGTTCCTAAAGAGCAGTCTCCTTTGATCTGTATGATGCTGGTGACATTTCTGAAATCAGTTCTCACTGCAAATTTTTTTTATTGTTGGTTTTTTGAGATGGACTCTCACTGGCCTGCAGCTGTCCCTGTAGCCCATGCTATTCTCAACTCACAATCCTCCTGCCCCAGCCTCCTGAGCGCTTCACTGCAAAATTATCAAAAAAAGAAAAATTGAATTCTACTTGGCCTATGAATAGTCAGTGCTTAGATCTTACAATTAAAGAAAAATAATAATGTACGCAAAATCATAACCATGTACTGTATTATAGATACCAGTTTAAGCTGTGAGTGGTGTAATCCCAGCACTCAGGAGGCTGAGTGAGGCAGGAGGATTGCTGTGAGTTCAAGGCCAGCCTGGGCTACATAGTGAGACGTCTCAAAAGCAAAACAAGGGGCCGAGAATTTAGCTCAGGGGTTTCGCCACCTGCTGCACAAGTGCAAGGACCTGAGTTCAATCCCCGGTACCAAAAAAAACAAAACAAAACAAAAAAATCTTGTTGAACAGTGATAAAAATGACTTCCTGTTTAGTTACCCCTTTTTGTTATCCATTTTCCAGATTATAGATATCAGTGATGTGTTCAGAAATACGAAGAGTGAATTTCTCCAGGACGCACTTAGGAAGCCCCAAGGAACCGTCAAAGCCATGTGTGTCCGTGAAGGAGCAGTAAGTGAAGCACAATTCTGTTTTTTTCCTAGAATGTATGTTTTAGAAATAAATATTTTGAACACTGGCACATTTACACTTGAGAAAGAACAGTTCTCTATATAAAAAATTTTTTTAATATAGAGTCTAACAATGTCCCTAAAGGTATAAGAGAACAATAAAATATTATGAAGACAAGTTTACACTTAAGATTTGGGGCTTTAGGGCCGGCGATTTAGCTCAGTGGCACCACATCTGCCTCAAAAGTACAAGGTCCTGAGTTCAATCCCTGGTACCAAAAAGAAAGAAAAAAAAAACAAAGGCTCTCAGCCCTATTATCAGCTCCAGCATGGCTCTCGAATGTTGACTTTTGACCATGCCCAGCTGCCTATTATTATTTATCACATTTCAAGTATATCTCTTCTTCCCTAAGTAGATATAAGAACATGTGGGGTGGTGCACACCTGTAATTCCAACTACATGGGAGGCTGAATCAGGAGAATCACAGGTTGGAGCCCAGCCGTATCAGGACCCTGTCTCAAAAAATAAAAAGGGATGAGAGTATAGCTTAGAACAAAGGCCCTGGGTTCAATTCCCAGTACCACAGAAACAACAGCCAAAAGGAATTGCAGGGCTGGGGATTTAGCTCATTGGTTCTGCCGCCTGCCCTGCAGGCGCAAGGACCTGAGTTTGATGCAGGTACCAAAAAAAAAAAAAAGAACTACAGGGATACATGTCATTTGTTCAGTTTTAGACTTCATATACTTGGTTAAATGTCCTATGAGTATAGTTGTTGATAACCATAATGTCTCACTTAGAAAGACTGAGATAATTTAGAAAATGTAAGATATGAAGAATTTTAAGAAACCTGAAATAAGCCAGGCATGGTGGTACACACCTCAGCACTTTGAGTGCTTGAGGCAGGAGATTCTTAAATTTGAGCCCAACCTGGGCAATTTAGCAACTTAATGAGACCCTGTCTCAAAAAATAAAACAAGGCTGAGGATGTAGCTCAGTGTAAAGGTCCTGGGTTTAATCCCCAGTTTAAAAAAATAAATAAAAACTGGTAGTCCGTGCCTATAATCCCAGCACTCAAGATCACCATTGAGTTCAAAGCCAGTCTAGACTACATAGTGAGTTCAAGGCCAGCCTGGACTATATAGCAAGACCCTGTCTCAAAAAAAAAAAAAAAAAAACCCTGAAATAATCAAATTCTGAATCCTTTTGTTGCTTTGAAAGTTGTTTTTTCTTTCACAATTCAGTTAGATTAACTTTGAATTATTTGTTCTGCATATTACAGAACTATTCCCAGTGAGACCTACATAATTAGGGAAATTAAGTTCTACAACAAGCTTGAAATATTTGTCATTTGGCAGTGGAAATTAAATTTTTGTTAAATCCCACTATAGTGATGAAAAGACAAAATGAATTTGTATCTCATTTGCTATCATGAATGTGTTTATGAAGCTGAGTATCCTATTGATGAGTTTACTTTGATTTTCTTTCATCAGAAGTACTTAAAAAGGAAAGATATTGAGTCCATTAGAAAATGTGCAACTGACCATTTTAATCAGGTAAGGAGTTAAAATTAAGGCAGATTTTTTTCCTTTTGGAGAATCTATTTTAACTGATTATTGCTTGAGCTCTTAATGTTTAAGATCTTGTTATTTGAGATCACTCTTTTGCTTTTCTTCTGTTTATTTTTAAAGTTAATCTTGTTCCTTAGTACAGTATTACTCTTAAGACTTCAGCTTTGTTGAATGTGCCATTAATTAGAATGTGAAAGTTCAACCCTAGCCTTTTAATATAAACAAAGCGATTTTATCCAGTTAAGAAAATAAATAGATGGACCAGGGATTTAGCTCAGTGGTTCTGCTGCTTGCCTCGCCAGCACAAGGTCCCAAATTTGATCCCCAGTACCAAAAGAAAATAAATAGAGCATCACATGCTCAAGATTTAACAACAGCATGATGGGTATGAAACTAATCCTATATTTATTTGTCCTCTGTGTCCCTTTTAAAATTACAAACAAGGGCTGGGAATTTAGCTCAGTGGCGCTGCGCCTACCTCACAAGCACAAGGTCCTGAGTTCGATCCAAAAACTAAATAAATAAAATAAAATTATGAACACACCATTGACAGGCACATTTTATGTTCTTGGCTTGGGGAAGGCAGAACTGAAATTGGGCGGCGCAGGAGTGGGGAAATTCACACTGTCACTGGACAAATACATACCTTGGCCATTTTAGAGTCAGTGACTTTAAAAAGCCTCATGCTACTTGAGTCAGTAATTTTCTGTGATATACTTAAGAAAAGGAGCCTAGATATAAGGAGACTTATGCTCATCATAGTATCATTTGTAACAGGAAGAGAATGAAACCATATAGAAGAGATTAAATGTTATGGTATAATCAAAGAAATTAATATGAAAGTTCCTTTTAAAATTTTTAGTTTCCTAAGAATATTAATATAGGAAAAAATGTTCATGTTGTAATGACTTGTAAGGATAAAAGAAAAGGATAGTGTTATATACACTGTTTATCACCATGTAAAAATGTTATAGTCGAAATTGAAAATGGACTACCTACCTCTGCTACCACCATATCCCAAGCTTTGTAGTTTCCAAAGAGGGCCAAGGCAAGTGAGAAAAATAAGGCATTATAAAAAGCTTTTCATAAAGTGAAAGAGCTACATGTGGGAGGCTGAGGCAGGAGGATCACCACAAGTTCGAGGCCAGCTTGGCCTATGTAGTGAGTTCAGGGCCAACCTGAACTACGTAGCAAGACTGTTCAAAAAGAAAGTGAATGAGCTATCTTTTCCCTTTTTTGTCTATGGAAATAGTATTTCTTTTATGAAATTACGATAATCGTAGAGAATATTTTAGGTTTTTGTCATGTCATTCCTTAATAAAAGTAAAAATTGGTAACTGTGTTTTCCCGTTTGGGTTTTATTTTTTCCCAGTACTGGGGATTGAACCATGACACTCAACCACTGACCCTGAGCTGTATCTCCAGCCCTATTTAAAAATTTATTATTTTGAGACAGTCTCACTAAGGCCCAAGCTGGGCTCGAACTTCTGGTCCTCCTGCCTCAACCTCTTGAGTTGCTGGGATTACAGCTGTGCACCCTGCACCCAGCTCCTGTAGCTCTTTCCATTGTCTCTTATTCTTGTTTTATTGATAAACTATCTTTTTTGAGTCCTTTTTGAAGATTCAGGTTCTTTTTTTTTTTAATCCCTGATTATCTCTTTTCTTTAGGTTTTTTTTTTTTATGTTCATCTTTGATTTTTTTAATTGCTGCTGATTTTCTTCAGTGTGTAGTGATTGTCGGTTGTCTGCATATTTAAGTCATTTTTGGGCTAGGGATGTAGTTCAGTATAGAGTGCTTGCCTAGTATGTGCAAGGCCCTGTATTTGAAAACCAACACTACACAAAAATTAGAAAAAACGGGCCGGGGATTTAGCTCATTGGTTCTGCCACCTGCCTTGTAAGCACAAGGACCCGAGTTCGATCCCCGGTACCAAAAAAAAAAATTAGAAAAAAAGAAAAAGAAGGAAGAGAAGGAGAAAAAGAGAGAGAGAGAGAGGCTGGTTGAAAATGCAGGGGCTCTGTAAATGGCTGAGTTTAGTTTGGGGTGAGCAGTGAGGCTGCTGGCTGCTCCCCTGGAGACTGAAAACTTATGTGTGCATCCTGGTCCTGTCCAGGTTTCTGCAGGGTCAGATAAGTTCCTTCTTGCACTGCAGCTGCCTCCATTGTTCACCAAGCCGGAGCTTCCTGCACATTGCTTCTCCAGTCTCTCCTACTCCAGTCACTTGCAATCTGCCAAAAATTTGTGGAAGTCACTCGTCTACTGATAGTATTCCCAACCTTTTTCTCTGTATTTTTCTTCATTGTGGCGAGATCACTTTTTTAATTCCTTTCATGTTATTTTGAAGGGCTTCCAGGAGGGAAGAGAAATGATCTCATGTAAATTCTCTTCTACAAGAAACAAATTTGTATGCCATGAGAAAATAAATTCACTTTTTTAAAAGTGTGAATAAGTCTTTTCTTTCATCATAGGAAGTATTACCTGTATTCCTGAAAGCCAACAGTAACTGGAATTCACCAGCTGCCAAGTTCATAGTGGAGGAGCAAAGATTGGAATTAACGCGAATAATGGAGACCCGGGAGGAGGACATGGTGTTACTGACTGCTGGAGAGCACAAGAAAGCAGTAAGGGGAATTACCTGCAAGCGGGTGTGCTGTGGAGGCTGTCTGCTGCCTTTTTCCTCCTGTGCATATTTTAAATGGACTGTTAATTTCATAAAATGGAATTGCTTTGAAGTATAAATATCTTTCAATACTCTGTAACGTGCTGTATGAAAACTGCAGTCTGACTGAGGCTTGCGCAGGCCCCAGCCTGTCTGTAGTTCAGGGTTGCTGTCTGCCTCAGAAAGCAAGTGGAGCTTTTGTCTTGTGGGAAGACAAAGTCATCGTCTTCTCTGAAAAATCTTCCTACATAGTTGGCTCTGGCATTTGTCAGGCATAGAAGAGCAGGGATGGAGGCCTCGTAAAGTGTAAGGTGTTCATTTGAGGTCAGGAGCTATGACAGTGATCATAACCACAAAATCCACAGTGGGGCATAGTTACCTTCAGAACTTGTCGTTATCTCAGCCCCAGTTTTATGTCAGTCATAGAAGTGGATTTCTTAACAATAATGAAAGAGTATAACCTCATCCAAAAACATGTCAGCTGCAAAGTAGTCTGTACAGTGCGGTTACATTCGTAGGTCCCCACCAGGCAAACTTGATAGCTGTGTGACGAAGGACGAGACACTGACCACATTTGTGTAGTCTGAACTGAGGCAAATTTGTGCCTGAAAAGCTAGGGACTTGCACATACTAGGCAAGTGCTCTACCACTAAACTACACCCCCAGCCTGGCCTTTCCTACACTTAAAGGGACAGTCCTCCAGAATTTTCTTTACTTGCTTATCTTTCTTCATAATTTGAAACCTTAAATGTTCACCACTTATAGTAGCTACTATATTTTTGCCTGACTTGAAAGTTGTATGAATGAATAATTGTATAGGGATACTTTTATTACCTGGAAAAAATATAAGATTTTTGAGATTAATGGATACCTATTTAATTATCACTATTCACTTATAGTGCATTAAATGGCATTCTTTTAGAATTCATTAACTGCATCTCATGAAAATATATAAAGATGATATTGATTTTTGTTTGTTTAGTTAGTTGGTTTTTTGAGACAAAGTCTCACTGTGTAGTTCAGGCTGGCCTGGAACTCACTATGTAGTCCTGGCTGGCCTCAAACTTGAGGCAGTCCTTCTGGTTCAGCCTCCCAAGTGCTGGGATTATAGGCATGCCTGGCTTATTTAGGGTGTATTGTAAAGCAACCCTTGAAGAGAAATATCCTATAATAATTTTAAACCAAAATCATACATTCAATAAGAACTTGTGCATTTTAAGAGACCATGGAGATCACTTCAGTGTAATGAGGAAACTGAGGCACAGAAGTCAGGAGCCTAACCTTGGCCCGTACTCTGAAGTGGGATAGCCCCCATCTCTTTTTCCTAATTTGGGAGAATACTGCCCATTGTACTGCTTATAAAAGGCCTATCAGATTGGAATTAGAATGTCATCATTTTGCAAAGATAGTTTTAATTACCTTGCTTTCTTTTTGCATGGGTTACTGGATTTCCATGCACAGTTTAACAAGTCATATCTTGGATCTCTTCTGTTACTGATCTTGACTCCATTTTCTCCTTTATTTAATTCTGCGCAAGTTAGAGATTTGATATGGCCCAACATACTGTCAGTTTAGTCCATACTCAGTGTGTAGTAAGGAAAACATCCTGCAGTTTGTGTCTGTCTGTCTATCTATCTGGGCATATTTGCCTGTCATGGTGTGTGAATCCAGTAGCACCTTACCAGTGCTGTGCCTGTCTTTGAAAAATAAATCACTGATGTGACATTAAACACCATACACAAAACTGGACTCTATCAGCTTCCAGCCTCCATTGGCATTACACAGATTAGATCTGACTGTGATTAAGGGTCAGTGGTATTACTTATACAGTCATCAAAAATATTTTCATTTTCACAATTTTGCAGATGAAGAACATTTGGTAGTTACAAACCTTTGTACATAACGAATTCCTGTAAATAGGGTCAGTTTACAGGGCTGGAGGGCCACAGGGCTGACAGGCATCCCTGGACCAACTTGGCCAAGGAGGACCCTTTGTCCTTGAGAGCAGCATGATGAGTGCCACCACCCACTGGCTAGAGCACCACTCTTCAGATTTATGGGAGATTGAATTTAGCTTTAGGAATCTTTATAAAATACACAAAAGTGTAACATAAAAATCAAACATGTGGGGCTGGGGATTTAGCTCAGTGATTCCACCGCCTGCCTCGCAAGCACAAGGACCTGAGTTCGATCCTCGGTACCAAAAAAAAAAAAAAATCAAACATGAATATTAAAAGTATGTTTTAAAGGCTAAGCATGTTAAAAATTCAGTCCTTCGGGCCGGGGACTTAGCTCAGTGGTTTCACTGCCTGCTGTGCAAGTGCAAGGACCCAAGTTCAATCCCCAGTACCAAAAAAAAAAAAAAAATTCAGTCCTTCATTGTGTATACTCCTGTTTTTAAAGACATGGTATTGCTGGACCTGGTAGTACACACCTGTAATCCCAGCACTCAGGAGGCTGAGGCAGGATTGCTTTGAGTTTGAGGCCAGCCTGGGCTTTGGTAGTGAGTTCAACGTCAGCCTGAACTATGTAGCAAGACCTTGCCTCAAACCAAAGTAATAATAATTAGAATTAATCTTTTAATAAATAAAGTCATGGTAGCTAATTAGCACTTTATCAAATTCATTCTTCTAATGTATATTTATGTTTCTTCCAAAGGAAGTTTCAGAGTTCAGCTTCAAAGCTAAATGTAATCTACTGTCCTTCCCTTCTCCTGCAGTAGTAGAATGAAGAAAGGTATTTAAATGTGAGTTTTATTATCAGCACATTTCTTAAAATAGAATTTGGAATTTTATATAACACCCTGTTGCAAATTAATCTAGCTACTAAACAATCTCTTGGTACGACCAAGCATTCTGCTCTTCCTTTCTCTGGAAGGTATTACTCTAATTCTTCTTGGCCTTCCTTGAAAGAAAGCTAGAAGCCACACTTACTGGGAACAACAGTAACATTCTGAAAATGTCACAATGAAAGTCCCCTATGTAGATATTTAAGGGTAAGATAGACTAGGCCTCAAAGTGACAGTGTATGCATGTTTTCAGGCTCGTGTGGCTTATCTGTGTAAGCCCAGCACAGGATTCTGCCTCAGCCTCCCACGTGCTGGGATTACAGCTGCGTTCTTAATCACTGTTACTAGGTACTCACCCAGGAACTGTGTGTGACAGTCATTCTCATCCATGTTACAGTCAGATCATCCTCAGATCTTTGCCTCCTGAGAGAGTTGGCAAATCTTTTACTAGAGAATGGCTGGCTTCAGAATCCAGGCTATTTCCTGCTACTCTGTCAAGGAGCTAACTCAGTGCTTATGTCTTCTGTTCACAGTGCTCTTTGTTGGGGAAATTACGACTGGAATGTGCTCACCTTCTGGAAGGGAGAGGAGTGGTGCTTCGTGACCCCACCTGCTTCTCTTTCCTTTGGGTGGTGGATTTCCCACTCTTTCTCCCAAAGGAGGGCAATCCCAGAGAGTTGGAGTCAGCCCACCACCCATTTACTGCTCCCCACCCTAGCGACGGTCACCTCTTGTACACTGCACCTGAAAAGGTACCCTCTCTGTACTTGCAGATAAAAAGGAAATATGCAAATAGTCAAAGAACTTCAAAGTTCACAGTCTGAAGATAGACAGGACCCGGTTCTGGAAGCCTCAGAAGAAATTGTGAACCAGGGGTTAACATTTTATCTCTTAAATAGCTACAATGTCTTCAGCCTGCAGAACTAGAAAGTCAGAAATTTCCTCTAACATAAAGACTCTGAATCTTCTAGGTTCGTAGCCAACACTATGACTTGGTTTTAAATGGCAATGAAATAGGAGGTGGTTCTATTCGAATTCACGATGCAGAGCTACAGGGTTATATCCTATCAACATTACTAAAGGTAACATTCCTCATCTTCTAATCTAGCCTGTTTTACCCAAGTATTTGTCAGTTTCTTTAAACACTTATTATGAATGAAGGATTTGCTAAGTACAAAATAGTGTCAGCTTGTCTGTCTATCTTCAGTGTAGGACTTGGAAAAGTAAATGACAGTAATAGCTCCTTGTTAGTGCTTCCTGTACCAGGGACTGCTTACATACTCTGTGTGCATTGATGCATTTATTCTTCCTAGTCACCTGTGAGATAACCTTATTCTGCTTGTTTTAAACATGAGAAACTGAGGCAGATTATGGAGCTTGCCCAGAGACATAGGACATGAAAAGGAAGCAAGGTCAGGGATTGAAGGGTAGCTCTTAAGCCCAGGCTCCTCATCTCCAGTGGATGGATGGATGTTAGAGAAAGAGAGAGGTTTAAAAGGACTTTGAATATCACTTAATATACTTTAGGGTTATACTTTAATGTTAGGGAGTCCTATTCAGATGTAAACCTCAGGATTTGCTGTTCATTATTTAAAAAAAAAAAACAAAAAACAGTCCAGGTCAGGTCCTAAAAAACATTTTGTAGGATTAACTAAGGGTAGGGTAGGATGGATGACCTTACATGTGAGCAGGTTTGGAGAACTCAACATCAGACCCCCCTTTAGCTCTGAAAGCATTGTGGAATCCACCTTTCTCATGTGGGTCAGAGCCTCCCATCATAAGCTCCAGGTTCCCTCGGTCTCCTCACTGTGTAGTTTATCAGAAGAGTAAGAGCACACTGCTTCTGCTTCCTCCCTATGTGTCAGGGTCTCAGCCCTGTTACACATCAGAATAGAATCACCTAGAAAGCAGCTAAAAAAAGGAAAACAGATGCCTTGGCCCACATCAGACCAGCTAAGTGAAAAGCTCTGTGAGGCTTTGGCATCTTTGTTGGACGCTCACCCATGAGTCTGCTCTGCAGTCCAGCTGGATAACTGTTTCCAGACACTTCCCATGTTTCTGCATCTGCTCCCCGGTCACCAAACCCAGGGCCCTATTCTTTTTTCCTTAAATTCTGTTATTGGTACATTTTAGGTATACAATACATTTACATTCACCATTGGAAACTTGTACTTTTCTATGATGTATCTTGCTTATTTTTTCCCCATTCCCTGCCCTCCCTTCAACCCACAGGGCCCTGTTCTTGGCCTCCAGGTTGTCCTCCCTCCTGGCCACATCTGACCCTGTTGTGCTTTTACTGTCATTCTTTTCCCTTGGTCACTGGCACAGGGCAGTCCCTATTTCTTGGAGCCCACACCTCCACCTCCTGGACTAGTCTTACTCTGTTAGCATTTTCAGTACAGTAAGAGCTGCATTTCCTGGACATCTGGCACTTTTCTACACATTGTGAACATCTGTGACGTGTTACTCCCTTAGTAAACTGTAAACCTCTTAAGGTAGTATTTACACTTTCCCAGTGAGTTGCTATTAGTTAAGTAGTGGTAAGATATGTTTTAACTCAACTTTATTTTGCCTTTAGCACCCATGTTTAAATATGTGGCACTTAAAAGTCCCTTCAGTGTATATTTAAACAGGGTATCTTTTGCATTTCAGGAAGATGCAACATTGCTTTCTCATCTGCTCCAGGCTTTAGATTATGGGGCTCCCCCTCATGGAGGAATCGCCTTAGGTAAATAATTATCTTTCTATAAAACATTTCATTCCATAGCCTTGTGTCTCAAATTTGGACTTTCACCTTATTTATAGTAGGAGTGGGGAAAGTTAAGTTTTAAGTTCTATGAGAAGTTAAGTTTGTTATAATTTCAATAAACTATTTTTATTGGTACTGGGGATTGAACCTAGAGACTCAGTAATATACTTTTAAAGTATATTTTACCATTATTAAAATATTAACTGAAGGCCAGGTGTGGTGGCACATGCCTGTAATCCCAACACTCGAGATTTCAAGGCCAGCTAGCACTACAAAATGAGACCATCTCAAAAAAACAAAAAATTATCTGAGCTAGGTCTGATGGTGAACATTTGTGATCCCAGCACTTAGGAGGCTGAGGCAAGAGGATCACCACGAGTTTGAGGCCAGCCTGGGCTACATAGTGAGTCCAAGCCCAGCCTAAACTATAAAGCAAGACCCTGTCTCAACTGAAAAAGTCTTGAGCACTTTTCTAGAATGAGATAAAAAAGCTTTCAAACAAGCAAAAGTTCTCTAACAATAGGAAACCATGGTTGGCTACAACTTAAAGCTTATTATTTGGAAGTTCTCTACATACAGGGCTGAGGATGTAGCTCACTGGTAGAGTAATTGCCTAACATATAGGACGTCCCATATTTGATCCCTAGTACCATGGAGCAGGAAAGTCCTACAACTTTTTTTATAGACAACTGAAGTCATTCCCAACACAAGACTGCTATACATTTCTCATCGGTGACCTTTGTTTTACTCACAGGGTTAGACAGATTGATGTGCCTCGTCACTGGAGCTCCAAGTATCAGAGATGTCATAGCCTTCCCAAAATCCTTCCAGGGACGTGATCTTATGAGCAATGTCCCCGATTCTGTCCCTTCTGAGGAACTGAAGCCCTATCATATCCAAGTCTCCTGGCCAACAGACTCAGAAGCAGAAAAGAGAAAAGAATCATTCACACCATCCAGAAAGTTGAGGGTTTTGTCCTCTGTGCTTCACCAATGCTAAAATCAGATCCAGATCTGCCACAAATCTGACAATCAAGTTTTTAGGTGGAAGTAACACAGGCAATATTTTTCACAATAAGAAACAGAAGAAACCTGATTTTGATTTGATAACATGTACTTCTGGAGCTTTTATTAATTTTGGTTGAGTTTTTTGAAGTTACTTTTTACTTGCAGAGTGTAAAAGATGGCTTTTTACTAGAGTAATATAGTAGGTTAATGTTTTCTAATCATGTTTTCCATACTCAGATTATTCATAGGACAGAGAAAGTCAAATCATGAAGGAAAATCCTTGCTTCTGTAGACATGTGATAGAGGGAGGGTTGTGGTTCATCCAGCCTCAAGAGACTGATAAAATTTACGGTGAAATTTCAACTATCAACACAATGTAGTAAGAATAACATAATGCACAAAATATCACTGAAATGAGACAAAATCTTATTCAGTGTTTCACTTTAAGAAATTCTCACTGAGCTTCATTTCCTACTTATGTAAAATGTAAACAGTACTTTCTCTGGCTACCTCATAGCGCTCTTCTTGCCAAATCAGAAGACATTTGTGAAAAATAATATGAATGAAAATAAAAAACTTAGGCCGGGGATTTAGCTCAGTGGTTCCGCCACCTGCCTTGCAAGCACAAGGTCCTGAGTTCGTTCTCGGGTACTAAAAAAAAAAAAAAAAGAAAATGAAAAACTGAATCAGGGTTGAGGATGTTAGCTCAGTGGTAGACCACTTGCCTACCATGAAAGGCCCTGGGTTCCATCCCCAATAATACACACACACACTACACCAATTCAACATTATTCATAAATTCAGCATTATCCATATATAAAGATACAAGATCTATATTTTATAGTTGAACAGGAAACAACGCTGTATCCACAGCTACCCAGGCTGAGCCAGGAGATTCCAAAGTTCAAGGGCAGCCTGGGCAATTTAGTGAGATCTCATTTCAAACAGAAGACTAGATGTAAATGAATGAGGCTATCTATAATCTATAGTTATTTGGGGAAAGACTGGCATATACATCAACAACAGTTTTTAAAAAACACTCGATGGGCTTTTACTTGTAAAGTAGGTGGTATAATGATCTTGATGGGGGAAAAAAGTGGGATTAAAGAATTCAGAAGAGGGTCGGGGATTTACCTCAGTGGTTCTGCCACCTGCCTCACAAGTGCAAGGTTCTGAGTTCAATCCACACTACCAAAAAAAAAAAAATTCAGAATCAGAAGAGGGGCTGGGTTGTAGCTCAGTGGTGTAGAGTGCTTGACTAGCATAGCATGCACAAGACCCTGGGCTCAATCCCTGGTACCACACACAACAAATCAAAACAAAACCATTATCTCTAGTAAAAGTTTTATGAATTAGTAGTTGTATTTGTAAAGATAATCATTAATCCCCGAGTAATATTTTCTTTCAATTATAATTGAAAATACTTTGGAGACAGGGTCTCACTATGCAGTTCAATCTGGCCTTGAACTCACTATGTAGCCCAGGTTGGCCTCAAACTCATGGCAATCCTCCTACCTCAGGCTCCTGAGTGCTGGAATTACAAGCCTGCATTATGCCCAGCTCAGTAATTGAAAATACTAATTGACCAACTTCAAATCCATAAAATGAACTGAAACGTGATTTTGTAAATTCTACTGGTACAGATAAAAGATAGTATCACAAGATGGGAATAAGGCCTTGATAATTTTTGCTTGATCTTCCCTTTTCCCTTAAGGTGTTTGATTTGTAAACATTAAATACCAGTTTTATATCCCTACTTTCTCAAGGCTCTAAGCAATAGGATAATATGCTTAAAAATAGGCTCCATTTGGGCCAAGGACTTAGCTCAGTGGCACCTTACCTGCCTCGAAAGCACAAGGTCCTGAGTTTGATCCGAGGTACAAAAATAGGCAGGGCCAGGGATTTAGCTCAGTGGGTCCACCACCTGCCTCGCAAGCACAAGGACTGGAGTTCAATCGCCGGTACCAAAAAAAAAGGCTGTGTACACATCAATGTCCTTCCCTGCTGCAGAAATCTGGTTTGCTAGTAGGTTGCTTTTCCCTACATTTTTTTTTACCTAAAGTCTCCCTTGGAGTGTATTAAACCCAAAAAGACCTTGCTGGCAGTCTTCATGACAGAGGGTATCCAGTTTTGCCTGCCCCTTCTCAGTGCAGAATTTCTAGGTATCCTTTATTGGTAGGGAGATAGTTTTACACCCGTGTTACTTGCTTTCCAATATGTATAATTCACTGTTTAGAGCTAATTCTGGCTAAAATGTCTCCCAGAAACGAGTTCACAAATGACACCCAAACTATTTCCTAGGCCATAAATACCAAAGGTCATAGGTCTCCAAGAGTCAAGACAATCCTCTCTTCATGTCACATTAGGCATTATGCAAGCTTTTCTTCAGAACTGTCAGGAAAAATGCTTATTCTAAATCCTAGGGAATGTAAATAAAGCTTTTATTGAAGTAAGCTAAAAATTTACAATTTAGTATTTTTGTGGGGCTGGAGATACAGCTCAGTGGGAGAGTGCTTACCTAGGCATGTGCTGCACCCTGGGTTTGATGCCAAGCACTGAAGAGAAAAAGCAACTGCCACCTGCAACAGCAAGTCTGTGTTAAGACAGCTTATCCTGTAAATAATCCCTCCTTGTTGGGAAGAGATGTTCCTATGAGTCTGTTAGCTGTTTTTGCTTATAGGCTTTCACTGAAAACAGTACCTGTATAGCTGTCTTTTACAGTTTCTTCTGAGGAAACAAACTGATCTGTAACACTGATCTTAGTTTTTGTTAAGCATAATTTTAAGGATGCCACCTAAGGGTACTTTTTTAACCAAGTATTGTAACAGTTCCATCTGGGCCTGACTGATGGCACACTCCTGTTAATCCCAGCACTCCGGTGGCTGAGGCAGGATCACTCCAAATGTTATTTTTAAGGACAGCCTGAACAATGAGACCTTGTCTCACCCCGCCCCCCCATCTGCATCTGTAAAATCTTCCTTTAAGTACATCTAAATCACATATGTGTAAATAAAGACTATTTAAAACTTTGAGTTGAACACTCCTGGATATAATTCCTGGCTCTACCACTCCCTTTGGCACCTATCACTGGCCCAGTTACTTAACCTCTAAGATACTATTTCATCTAGAATATTTCTCAAACTTTAAGTCTTAGGATCACTTAGTCTCACTGAAGCCAAGCATGTTAGCACAGGCCTATACTCTCAGTACCTGGGAGGCAAGCAGATGGCCAGCACCAGATTAGGCTACCTAAATTCCAGACCAGATTGAACTACGCAGCAAGACCCTGAACTGGTTTTGACAGTTAAGTCGTTTCCACAATTCTGACTACAAACGAGAACCCAGTCAAATTCAGTGATTAGGTAATCTCAACCTTAAGAGACATTGGATTCAGTTCCCATTCAATTTGGCTTGCAACCAGAATCATGGAGAAGTTCCTTCACTGAAGTAGCAGTTAATTTTTACTATAATTTTTGCCAACATTGAGAAACCAATAGACTTTGCAGTTACATGCCCAACCTGGTCTCACTGAATTGCCCATGGACTGGTCTCAAGATGAGATTAGAGGTATGCACAAGTAGCAAATGGTGGTGATGGAGAGTAAACCACTGGACCAGGTATGGCGGCACAAACCTGTAATCCCAGCACTTTGGGAGGCTGAGGCATTAAGATTGAGGCCTACTACAGTTGAGACCTCTCACCGCCAAAACAGACTCACAACATAGCAGCTGGACCAGGGGATTTAGCTCAGTGGTTCCAACACCTGCCTCTCAAGCACCAGGCTGGAGTTCAATCCCCAATACCACAAAAAAAAAATTCTAGCACCTGAGGGCACTCCAGGAAGCCACTGTGTACACGTAGGTAAATGCTGGGGAAAAAAATGAAACTCACATCTTCCCTTGGTATTGTAAAATAATGTAAAGGGAGCTGGTTCGAAGACCTGCAAAATGGACTGAGAAACATGCCAACACAGCTGAAGCTGTTGTTGCTGAGCAGTAGTTATGTAGCAGGCACAAAGATCTTTAGAGATGGTTTCTCTAGCAAACTGGAGCTCTATTGTCAATCCACTGCCATGTTTATCAAGTGCTTGACTCCAGAAACTCAAATTTACCTGGGTAAGATGAAAGGCTCAGGTATGATAGGAAAGAGCTGTACCAAGCACCTTAGCAGATCCACATTTTATAAAACATCTTTTGAGGGGAACTACTTGGATATAACCAGCTTTTCCACACCCAGTCTTTTAGTATACGTGAACATTTTGATTGCCAAAAGCCTGTAACCACGACTTAGTTTTCTCCCCAGTAGTCTTAATTTTAGCATTCTAATAACCCCACTGCTTTAGCCAGTTTTTCATTTTATACAGAAAGAGCCAAAAAAACCTGCCTATTTTTAAAAATGTTATTGCCATTAAATGGGTCTTCTAAAGTGAAGCAGTGCCGTGGAATCTCTTAATTTGTGCGTGTGTACTTCCACTCAGAATGATGGGTGCAAAAAAGTCACCTATTGTTTTGATCAGGTACCTTTCTTCCCGTACCCCATTTGTATTTGAAATACATGTAGTCCCATCTCCCTAGGCTCAATCCTCATCACCAAAAAATACATCTCTCCAGATAAGTTTCCACAAATTTATTAAAATTGGTATGTTTAATCTCTTCAAAGAGCGTCCATCCAGCTGCCTGCAATAAAGACAGATTTTAGTGCCTATTTCCAGATTTCAACTTGCAATAGCAATTGGGGAACACAGAATATCAGACCTTTCCTCATCATCAAGTAATCAGGGAGAGAGTTCAAGTTGAGGTGAGATCATCATGTATTCTGGAACAGGAAGGGTACTGACAATTCTCAATCCTCACCTTTGCCATAAGGACGAGCTGTATGCCCACTGATGCCATAAAGTCCTGAAAAAAATTAAAATTGTATTCTTAATCATGGCAAAAAAGAATCCTGTGATGCTTATTAGTACTGTAACCTCAGAATCAAAATGGAACGGTTTTATAAGTGATATCATTTAACTTCATTTGGCAGAATCATCACATCATTGGTTACATTCCAAGTTATTACACATATACAGCCAAGTTATCTTACCTTAGAGACTTCAGGATAACAAGGTTTACCTGTTTGGAAAAGGGAAAAACCCACTTAAAATTTGTCCCATTGAGCGGGTGGCACTAAGTGGTAAAGCATTGGCTTTCACTTGCATGAGGCCCTAATGCTCTCAAATCTCCAAGCTCCCAAAGTATATGATTGGTCCTACACAATTTCCCTCTTTAGTCATTCTAACTGTATAAGCAACAAAATAAGTTATGAGCCAAAAAATCTGTGCATGCATAATATAAACTAACCTCCACTTTCCCAATCGTGAGTTCTTTTCAACAGACGAAGCTCAGCCTTACATTATCTAGGCTGACCTTAAAGTCATCATGTCTCCACCTGTCTAGTAGATGGGAAGTTCAGGCATGATACCATGCCTGGCTTGTATCTTCACTCTTAATGCTGTAGTTAATACAAAGAAAAACATTTGTAAGACAAGTGACCCAAGTCCCTCACTTTTCTATGGGACAATAAAAGGTTAAATTCAAGGGTCTAAGTTAGTTGTTGCAGCCAGATACATCAGATAGGAGCGAAAGACTTGATTGTTCATCAGTGTTGTCTGCTGAACTATGTTATCATCATTGTATCAGCTTTTAGATGATTTAGTAAGTCAGTCTTGAGAACTAAGTGTAGCTCAGTGGTAGAGCACTCACCTAGGAGCATACCCTGGACCCTGGTTCAATCCCCAGCACCAAGATTTAAGATTACTAACCTTTTTGAAAACTTCTTGGACAGTGCATCATAGCCAAGCTCACTCCCCATACCTGTGAAATTTTAGTCTAATTAAGGAGGTTGTTCATAGGTAATTTTCCTAAAAGATTCACCAATTACTGTTTCAGTTTCAAATTAGGCTTCATTCTCTTTCAGAGAGATTCCCATCTGTTTAAAACATCATCACTAACAGCACTTTGTTAAATACTTAAGATTAACAAACTATGTATACCTTTATAAAGGTCTTCATAACCTGGACCTGAAAAAAAGATTTAGTTTTAGACACCATTTCTTAACCCTTGAGTATTACTAACTTTGAAAGACAATAGATTACTCAAGATTTTGAAATATTTAATAGCTTCCTGTCCTACTGAATATATTAACTGGTATCACAAACATTAGCTACAGTACATTTCAGAACTATATAAAGCATAGGATACCAGAAGAGAAAACCATTTGCTTACCAAAGCAAGCCATCCAGACAGCACCACCTAAAATAAAAATAGGGAAAGCTTCATTAATATGCTAAAAACATTAAAATTTCTGTTATTGTTTGTCATAGGGTTGTTCAGCGTTAAATTTGTCTACATGCTCATTTCAGGTCAGACATTTGATCAACATCATTACAAAAACCCCACAGAACATGCTCAACCAAAATGCAAAGTTAACATCCATTACTCAAATAGGAGCTAAAAAGCCAACCAGTAGGCATGCCACTTTTCAAGCATTGTCAGTCTTCAGTCTCATTTAACACTTACTCAAATAAGCCTGGTCCAGCTAAGTCAAACTCCACCTATAAAGAAAGAATGGTTTTAGAAGAGCCAAAGATGAATTTTCTCCCCCCAAAGGTAACAATGCCTGAGATCAGTTAGAGCTAATTAAGACCTTCATATTTCAATCAGTATTTGCTTATCATCATCCAGGCAGGCTGTTTACAAACTGAGTATCTTACAAATAGTTAACAGGACAAGGATCTGCCATTTACCCAATGCATTCAGAGGCCACAATAGGACTGCTTACTATTTTCTACCTTCAGTAGTTTGCCCTGTTACCTATGTTTAATCAGATAATTTCACTCACCATTTCAACTTCTGGCTTCCCAATGCCTATGAAAGAATTTAAATAGAATGTAAGACTAACTTTTAATGCTAATTGAATGGTACACAACTCAATAATCCAGATACATCAGACAGATGGTAAATCTCTTCATGATTTATCTGCTGAACTATGCAACCATCACGGTATCTGTTTCTTCCTCCTCCCACCAGTATTAACTTTAGCCATCAAAATGAGAGCTCATATAATTAAGCAAAGTACAGTACCACCTGAAAAACAGCTTAGTTTCTCACCTGTATGCCCATGACTGGAGGCTTACTGTTTAGGACCTAAGAAGAAAACTTAGTGAACTCAAATGAAATCTTTATGCTCCCCAAATCAGGGTTCTCTGTGCCTCAGTTAAAATAATGGTGGTTAAGATTATCGTCATTCTTTCAGTCAAGAGTAGCAAATAAATGTCATCATTGCGGCACTCCTGTTCTTTCTCCATCTTCCTTCCCTGAGAAATTTACTTACCAGAGTTCTCACCCTTCTTTGGCACGTAACTAGGAAACAAAAATATTTACAATGAGAAATATCTTCAGATGAAGAATTAAGTAAGTTTCTACGTCTCAAAGCCTCAGAATAAAATTTTTCAGAAATCTCTTCTGCCCACTACTCTTACACCATCACAGGCTTAACATAAAAACGATCTCTATGCATGTTTCACTTTCCACCTTCCCCAGATTCTTACCTGTCCATAAAATCCCATCAAATGCCACATTCCACCTGTATACACCACCATTCCTAGTGGGAAAAAAATAGAATTTCCAACACGAGACAATAAAGGATGTTGTATTATAAAAAAGCATTTTATTCGGTGAAGAATCAGGACCAGAAAAAAATGCTACACTGCACAACCCAGCTACCTATTAGATACACGTGGGCTCCACTTGCAGACCTTTTCTGACCTCATGCAACTAGAGGCTCAGGCCTCGGTCTACAGCGGCCCACTCGGGTGACTTGGCATGTGCCGCCATCAGAGCCGTTGGCATTCATCAGCACTTTCAGATGTCCCTACCAACACAGGCTTCATCATTAGCAAGGCACATAGGCACTTCTCTGTAGTTTAGCCGCCAACAACCCACCTGGGATCGATTGTGCCTGCACCCAACGCGCAACTGCAACTTCCTGAGCCTTGCAAAAGCGACTGGCCTAAAAACACCAGTCAGCTTGGGGTGACCCTAATGCTAAGAGAAGCAGGCCCCAAAACAAAAACGACTTAACCCCAAAGACGAACTGAAAGTACGGCTCAGTGCCTTAAGGCTTGTCTAATATATGTAAACCCTCAAGGATCAACTCCAAAAAAAAGAAAATTCGAAGGCTAATAAAACCATAACGTACCCAACACGAGCAAACTCCTGCAGCTGAAAGACCGAAATGGCGCCAGCGGCCCCGTATATAAGAACTTTTCGTGACGTCATGACGCACGCCCCACTCCTGCGCCTGCTCCAGCCCTCAAGTCCCGCCCAGGGCCCGCCCCAGGCCACGCCCCGCCCTTGTGGGTGGGGACATGATCGCCCGCGTGACACAGGGCTCCCGCGCTCCTCCCCCGCAAGAAGGAAGAGCCGAGGGGAGGGGGCGCGAGGCCGAGCCGCGGTGGGAGGGGGGGGAGGGGCGGTGGAAGGGTGAGTGATTTCCTTCCGGCACGTCGCCCGCTCCGGGGGTGGGGGCGGGGGGTTTCACTTCCGGGACGGTGTTCCGGCCCATTCCGGCCCATTTCCACCCCCGGAGGTAGGTGCTGCTCGTTGACGGGGCTTGGGCCCCGCACCCCAGTTCCGCTGCCCTGCGCCGGGGCCACTTGGCCCCGTCTCCGCTGCAGCCCGCTCCCGGGGCGCTCAGCCGCTGCCCTGCGCCTCCCCTCCAGACACCCAGCGATCTTCCGCCCCTTTGGCCCCGGGCCGGGCTGAGCTACCGGACCCGCCCCCTCGCGGCCCCTCCCTCAGGACCCCGGCGGCGGCCCCGGCCCCCTCCCCCTCCGGCCGCCGGGACACACCCAAATGCACACACCCACTCGGGGCGGCTCCCGCCCGGCGCGCCCCAGCCCGTCGCCTGCACCGCTCCGGGGCGCCGCCCCCTTCCCAACCTTCGCGCTCACCTTTGAGCTCTCCGCTGCCGCCGCTTTGCTCCCAGGCCGCCGAGTTCCTGGGTGACATTCCGCTCCTTGGCCAGTTCCCTTTCCCCCTTCCTCACGCAGACGAAAGCTGCTTGGGTACCGGAGTGGCCAACCCCGGGCCGTTCCCGGTTCTCCCTCTTACAGCCGACGGTAAAGAAAGACTTTACTCCAAGGGCTTCCTCCTCACTGGAGAATTGCCGGAAAGAGCAAACAAAAAAGGCGCTGGTGTAGGCTCCAAAATAAACACATCTGAATTCTTGATGCCATCGACAGAGGCTCTTACTGGATTAAAAGTTTCAAAACAAACAGTAACGCTTTGGAAAAAGGTCTGATTGGCTAAAGTTAGTTCTTGAAAGCAGTGTATACACTTCCCTGTTTACTGCTTAGTGTGTATAGATGAGGGCAATACTGTGGGCTTGTCAGGATAAGTTTCCTGAAGTTTCAGGTCTTAACGCAACTATATAGTATCTTACAGATTTATAGATAAGTGGCTGCAAGTTGGGTTTAAATCATTGTCCTTCTATTGGGATTTATACAAAGTGTACTTTAAGCTATTGAAGACTATTGGATGCAGTTGCAATCTTTTTTTTTTTTTTTTTTTTTTGGTACCAGGGATCGAACTCGGGTCCTTGCGCTTGCGCAGCAGGCGGCGAAACCACTGAGCTAAATCCCCGGCCCTGCAATCTTTTAATATAAACATTTTGGCCATACTTCCAAATGCTCTATTTTTCAAATACCAGCTCTAGAAAACTGAATTTCAGAAATGCATATGTAAAGCCAACATTGACCCCCACCACCTGAAATCCTCATCTTCAAATTTGGATAGAGGTAGATTTATGTAGCCTTTCCTGACTCAGAACTGAACTTCAAGTTCTCTGCAGCTGGAGTCCTGACACAGCTGTGGAATTCTTCCTAATCTAGAGTTTGCCTCAGAGTCCAGGCTTTTGTGGGAACCCTGGCTCCTAAGCCTAAAGATCCTGGCCTTCATTCTTGTGGGATATTAGGTTAAAAGGTAATTAACATAAGCAAGTAGTGAAATGTTAAGTAGCTAATTAACCTATCTGTGTGTAATTACGTTTCTTTATAAAGTTTATTTCCTCTTAGAAAAAAGTTGTAATGTTGTCATGGGATTCTATAATCAGTCCCCAAACAACCTTATGATTAATGCTCTTCCTTCCTTCCCTCTTGAACTTTTTTTTTTGAGACCGGGTTTTGTTTTGTAGTTCAGGCTGATCTTGAGCTCATTATGTAGCCCAGGATGGCCTCCAACTCTCTGTGATCCTCCTGCCTCAGCCTCCCAGGTGCTGGAGTTACAGGCCTGCACCACCACACCCAGCTTGAACTTCCATTTTGCTGTTGTATACTGTATTAGCAAGGAAAGTATGGTCATAGCTTAAGTTTTTAGAAAAATATGTTTGAACTAGGAAGCACCAAGAGAATACAATTGTTATTCTTAATGAGAATGTGGTTTCTTCTTTCATCAGGGTTGAATGTGTGCCTGCACCTTCAGGCATGACCATGGAGAAAGGAGGGAACATACAATTGGAGATCCCTGACTTCAGCAACTCTGTCCTGAGCCATCTAAACCAGCTGCGCATGCAGGGCCGTCTCTGTGATATTGTGGTCAATGTGCAAGGACAAGCTTTTCGGGCTCACAAAGTGGTACTGGCTGCCAGCTCCCCCTATTTCCGGGATCACATGTCCTTGAATGAAATGAGCACTGTCTCCATTTCAGTCATCAAGAACCCCACTGTTTTTGAACAGCTCCTTTCTTTCTGTTACACAGGGCGGATATGCCTGCAACTGGCAGATATCATCAGCTACCTAACAGCTGCCAGTTTTCTGCAGATGCAGCATATTATAGACAAATGCACACAGATCCTGGAGGGCATTCATTTCAAAATTAATGTCGCTGAGGTTGAAGCAGAATTAAGTCAAACAAGGACAAAGCATCAAGAGAGACCTCCGGAGTCTCACAGGGTCACACCAAATCTAAGCCACTCCCTTAGCCCACGACATAGTACCCCGAAGGGGAGCCGGCGAGGACAGGTCAGTGCTGTGCTGGATATCAGAGAGCTAAGTCCCCCTGAGGAATCCACCAGCCCTCAGATCATCGAACAGAGTTCTGATGCAGAGAGCCGGGAGCCCATTCTCCGGATTAACCGAGCAGGACAGTGGTATGTGGAGACAGGAGTGGCAGATCGGGGGGGCCGGAGCGACGACGAAGTCAGGGTTCTGGGAGCTGTGCACATCAAAACTGAAAATCTGGAGGAGTGGCTTGGGCCTGAGAATCAGCCTTCTGGAGAAGATGGGAGTAGTGCAGAGGAGGTCACTGCCATGGTCATTGACACCACAGGCCATGGTTCCATAGGACAGGAAAGTTATACTCTAGGGTCTGCAGGAGCCAAGCTGGCTCGGCCAACAAGCAGTGAAGTTGACAGGTAAGGTTTGTTTCCTTTTCCCATCTAATGGCTAATGTGCACACATTACATGGGCCCTGTGTTTTGTAGAGCATCTTCCTTACCTGATATTCTTAACTGCAATGAGTTGATTTTGAGGAAACTGGAGGTATGTCAAAAGACTTGCATTCTTTTTTTTTTTTTTTTGGTACCAGAGATCAAACTCGGGTCCTTGCGCTTGCAAGGCAGGTGGCGGAACCACTGAGCTAAATCCCTGGCCCATGCATTCTTACTGTTTTAAAGCAGGAAGCTCCTAGTCCTGAAGTATTCACAGTGTTGTGAGAACTATGGTAAAGATAGACACTGCCATGAATCAGAATAACATCTGCAGCCACACTAGGATCAGTAATTGCCAGGGCTTCCTCGGAATTCCAGGCAGGGAGCTGACCATCAGCCAGGAACCTGGCAGCATTGCCCTTCCTTGGTATGTTATTGCACAGGTAGGTGGTCTTGGGAATTCACGTTCTCTACAGTACCCTTTACTTTTTTTTCCGCCCTCGTCTACCAAATTAGAGTAACTGTGGTACTGTCTGTGACTGTTCTTTCTAAATTAGTGTCAACACAGTACAGTAATTCCAAAGAAAAGCTTTTCGGATGTTTTTCATTCCTTTTATCACTTGTCATTTGCTGATATAGTCCCTATTTTCTTTTATTGGATGACTGCTACCTAAAAGTTCAGTTTTTTCCACCAGTGCTACTGTGCCACTTTTCTCTAATACACTATATATGTTAGAACAGTGGTGGTGAACCTGCAGCACTCCCACTGCAGCCGGCTGTTTGTAATCATTGAACACTCTAAAAGGTTCATCATCACTGTAAGAATGTTTCTTTTTGGTAGAAATTGCACTAGTTTTGATGTGAGTCAATTGAAAGAAAAAAATTACTAATTCACATTGGTAATATTTGTTCTTTTCACCTCTCATGAATAAATTAAAATTAAGCAATAAAACTAAAGAAGCTATTTCTTTGGTTTCTAACTGATCTTGAGAGACACAAGTATTGTAGACATTCGGATAGTATTGTCTTCTGCATCCACTTCAGAAAGTCCCGGCTTGAATATTTTCCTTTGTATGCACTTAATGAAAATATTCTTGAGCACAGAGCTTATTGACCCCCAATGTTAACAGTTTTCATCCTATGTTAGAACTGTATCAGTAGTGCTATCTGTTGAAACACAAAGTTTTTTCATCTCCATAATCAGTATCATCAGTCTGAAATATGTAACAGGTTGTCATAGACTCTGGTGAAGGAAAAAATAACAACAAAAAACAATAGTTAAATAGAAGAAATAAAATTGCAAACCCAATTTTTAATTATTCTTTTACTCTTCTCCCAGTACTTATGTAAGGGTAGAAAGCTTATATTTGGCTTTAGTTTTACCAGCTTATATGATCTATGTCCTGTGTCATTTTGTATTTTTTAAATGCACTAAGACAAACATTTCTTAACTTATTTCAAACCAGCTTCTACAGTGACCCCATGAAAGAAAGTTTTCTTCAGTTATGTTGCTTAATTTGGTTTTTTTTGTTGTTTTTTTGTTTTGGTACTGGAGATCGAACTCGAGTCCTTCCGCTTTTGAGGCAGGCAGCAGAACCACTGAGCTAAACCCCTGGTCCTATGTTGCTTAGTTTGTTCCCTTCCACAAACATAAGATAAAGAGGGGGAAACATCATCTTTTTTGTTTTTAATTTCATCGTTTTGTTTTATTTTGGTTCTTTGAGACAGGGTTTCACTATGTTGTCTAGGCTGGACTCAAACTATGTAACCCAGGCTGTCCGTGAACTCAGCCTCCTGCCTCAACCTCCTGACTACTGGGAGCTGTGTGTCACCACACCTGGCTATTATCTTTTTAAGTTCTTTGACACTACTTTTCTGTTAGTCCCCTCTATGCTCTTCTTCCAACAGATTTAGTCCCTCCGGCAGTGTGGTTCCCTTGACAGAGAGACACAGAGCCAGAAGTGAGTCTCCTGGGAGAATGGATGAGCCCAAGCAACCCAGCTCACAGGTATGTAGTTGTGCATCATAGGGTTGCTATGTTGGTTGAGAAGTTGCCAATGTGTATGAACAGAATATGAGTAAGAAAAGAAAGATGAAAGAGAGGTAACAGTTTACATATTAAAGAAGTACTAGATTTAGCCAGGCACAGTGGCACAATCTTGTGATCTCAGCACTCTGGGAAGCTGAGGCAGGAGGATGGAAATTTGAGCCTGAGCAACTTAGTGACTGTGAGATCCTGTCTGAAAATAAAAAATAAAAAGGCCTGGAGATGTAGCTCAGTGCAGAGGCCCAGAGTTCAGCCCTTAAGACCACAAATAATAAATACTGTATAACTATTTTTTTTCTTTATTCTTGTTTGGTGTCAGTGGAGTTTGAGAATTAGGAGAAGCCAAAAAAACAAGATCAGGGCCAGGTATTTAGCTCAGTGGTTCCGCCGCCTGCCTCGCCAGCGCAAGGACCTGAGTTCGATCCCCGGTACCAGAAAAAGAAACATGATCGTGGAACTCAGCTGGGCATTGTTGGCACATAACCTGTAATCCAGCTACTCAGGAGGCTGACCCCAAGGCAGGAGGAACGAAAGTTCCAGACCGTTTTGGGCAACTTAGCAAAATCTTGTCTCAAAATAAAAATTTCAAAAGAGGGCCGAGGATGTAGCTCAATGGTAGATCACTCACCTGGCATGCACAAAGTGGTGGGTTCAGTCATCAGCACTGAAGGAGAGAGAAAGACATACAGACAGACAGAGGCTGTAGAGCTCTTTACTGATTATAGGGACCAATCTGTAGACCTCAGAGTAAAATTAACCTCTGAAAACTACATGTAGGTAACTTAGGACATGGAATAGAGAGAGTGATGGGGGAGTAACAACACTGTGTATGCATGCATGATTATTGATTTATGTAGTATGTTATTTGTAAACAAATTCTTATGAATTTTTCTGTCTGTGCTATTTTGTATGCATTTGTTTTGTTTGTTTTTGGTTTTTTGACACAAAGTCTCACTTTGTTGTTCAGGCTGGCCTCGAACTCACATCGATCCTCCTGCCTCAGCTTTCCAAGTGCTGGGATGACAAGCGTGCACCACCACAGCCAGCCTGTTTTGTTACTTTCTTACTGAATCTTTTGTTAGACTACAGTGTTTTAAAAAGGATAGAAATAATGTCTTTTATTTTCTTTGCAACTCTCCTTAACAACAATTAAAAAGTAGTTGATATTTTTGGTCATTATTTCTTACAGGTGTGAATTGTTGAAGATTGATTTTTTAAAAAAAATTTTTTTTTTTGAGTCAGGGCCTTGCTTTGTAGCCCAGGCTGGCCTTGAATTCATGGTGATCCTCCTTCCTCAGCCTCCCTAGTCCTGGGATTACAGGCCACCACGCCCAGCACTGAAGATTGATTTTTAAAAAGGTGATAAACTCACCTAGTATAATACAATAAATTAGACTCTTTTGCCTTTAAAAAGTAAACACTGGTAGATTAACATTGCATAGCTAATTTTTTAAATCTTTGCACTATACTTACAACATCTTTTATCTAAGTCACTGGATATTTATGCATTTGAGATAGTAATAGCAATAAGCCATTATTACAAGCTATATTCCTTAGTTTTGATAAAGTGTTAGGAAAAAGTCAGGATCTTAGAGGAAAAATAAATTTACTCATGTAATTAAGGCTCTGTTTCTCATCTCTCAAATATGGTGTGATAACCATATAGATGTAACTGGCCATGCAACTAAGTACAGTAATGAAACAAATCTTAACAGTGGGGGCATAAAACAGACAAATACACTCAAAATAAAATAAATATAAGACATACAGACTTCAGAGACAGTTTTGTGGGACTAAGAGTGCTTAAAAGGCAGTTATTTGGCCAGACATAGTGACATGTACCTATAATCGCCTCACTCTGAGAGGCTGACGCAAGAGGATGGTAAATTCGAACCCAGCCTGGGTAATTTAGCAACTTAGCAAGATTCCATCTCAAAAGAAAAAATAAAAGTGGACTGGGAATGCAACTCAGTGTGAAAGCCCTGGTTTGAGTCCCCAGTTCTACAAAAAGAGGGAAAAATGGAATTCTTTAGGAATGTTTACCTGAAGCAAAAGGTATAAACTATAAAGATACAGAAGATAAATAATATTGTCTAGACATGACGTTAAGGGTGATACTGTATATGCCTTAATAGGTAGGAAAGTTTATTGTGGTGAATTTTACTTGTTACTTTCCCTTGCCACAAAAGACAAAAACAGAACAAAGATTTGCATTATAATAAAAACAAATATTGAGCTGGTGTGGTGGCACACTCTTGTAATCCTAGCACCCAGGGAGGCTGAGACAGCATGGCCACAAGTTCACACCCAGCCTGGGCAATTTAGAGACTTAGTGAGTCCACGTCAAAATGAAAATTTAAAAAGGACTGGGGATGTAGCTCAGTGCAAAGGCCCTTTCATTTCCTAGTACCAATGAAAACAAATTTTACTCAAACTTTTTTTTTTAGTACCAGGGATCGAGCTCGGGACCTTGCACTTGCGAGGCAGGTGCTGGAACCACTGAGCTAAATCCCTGGCCCTAGAAAACAAATTTTAGCAGGGTGCATAGCACAGACTTGTAATCCCAGCTACTCAGGAGGCTGAGACAGAAGAATCCCAAGTTTCAGGCCACCCTAGGCAATTTAGCAAGATCCTGTCTCAGAAGATAAAAAGGGCTGGGGCTGCAGCTCAGTGGTAGACTGCTTACTTAGCATATTGAATGCGCTAGGTTCAATCTCCAGCATCAAGGAGGGGGATGATTTTGAATGACTTGAAGGACTCCTTGATTATGAGGGGTGAATAACCTGGAACAGACTACTGACATCAGTTTTTTACTGAAAACCTTCTACTGCCTTTTCTTTTTCCTACCACATGAAAGTTAAAAATATTTGGGCTTGTTTTCCTCATAATTTATACTCTTTCTGACTCCTCTTTTTCTACCGCTCATTAGCATGCGCTATTTCAAATGGAGAGATGTTCTCTGTGTGTCAGACCCCCAACAAATTATTCTCAGTCTAAGATTCCACATTCTTCCTGGGTCTTTCCAACCCCCAGTTCCTAGTTTTGTCTCCCGTAATCAGCCCAGCCTTCTTTGATCTTTTCTCCTTAAACCACTAGTATAGCATTTACAGATGATACAGTATAACTTTTCCTAATTTTATACCAATTCATATAAGTTGTTTCTTTCTAACTTGCATTAATTTTGTCTTTCCTGGTAAACTGGAATTACCTGGAGAGGAAAATCCGTGTTTTTTAATCGTATCTGACCTTGTTTCATTGAATCCTTGTATTTCTGACACAGTCTTGTCAGGAGTTTTACCTCCAAGTACAGTAATGGTTGATTTCATCACTGTGTAAATGTCACAGAGCATACTAAGGAGTTTTAGTTGCTTATGAAATCTCCATTTGGGAGGAAAATGAAATCACCTATTTTGGAGATCTTTAAATAATAGTAATGCACCAAATCAGATGATTTTTGAAGCCCCTTCTATTCTTTGATTCTGTGTTAGTAATTAAAGTTATGATGGCATTGGGCATAGTATGCGTGCCTGTCTACAATCCCTGCACTCTAGGGGGTTGGCACAGGATTTTGAGTTTGAGCCCATCTTGGGCAATTTAGCAATTAGCTAGACTTGTCTCAAAATAAAAAGTTGTAAAAAGGCTAGGGGTGTAGCTCAGTACAAAACCCAGAGTTTAATCACCAGTAACTAACTAACTAAATAATAAAGATAAGGGTAATGAGAGGCTTTGAAGTCCATGTCAGGCATCTAGACTGATACTGTTATAGAAAATATAGAAATCAGGCCGGGGATGTAGCTCAGTGGTTCGGGTGCCTGGCTTGCAAGCTCAAGGTCCCGAGTTTGATCCCAGGTACCAAAAAGAAAAGAAAATATAGAAATCATTTACGTGGATGTTTTTCATTGGGAAAATGTTACTGAACCAGGCACTGATCAAATTCCTGAAGATTTGGCAATGCAAAATGTCATACAGTGGCAGTGCATACAGAATTTACATTCTAATAAAGTATTGCCAGTATGGAAGGAATGAAGTGATATTCCTTTGAGTGACAGAACTAGGAGGCAGCTATTTTTGCCCTTACCTCTTTTTAAAATTCAGAGCAGCCAGGAGTGGTGGCACACTCCTGGAGCCCAGCTACTTAGGAAGCTGAGGCAAGAGGATTGAAAGTTCAAGACCAGCCTGTGTAATTTAGCAAGACCCTGTCTCAAAATAAAATTAAGAGGGGTGAAACTGGGGTTGTAGCTCAGTGTTAGAACAAGTGCAAGGCTCTGGTTCAATTGCCAGTACCACAGAAAAATGAATAAAGGTCAAAGCAACAAAACTACCAAAGATATATTGTTGCTGCCTTTGACAAGGACTTGGTCCACAGTATATTCATTAAAAAAAAAAAAAAAAAACACTGGGTGTGGTGGCTTACCCCTGTAATTGCAGCACTTGGGAGGCTGAGGCAGGAGGATTGCTGCAAGTTTGAGGCCAACCTGGGCTACATGTGAGTTCAAAGCCAGTCAACTATATAGTGAAACCCTGTCTCAAAACAACAAAACAAAAAATATACTGTTTGTTTTTTAATGCTGCTGATTAAACTCCAGCCCTTTTTTTTTGGTACTTGGGATTGAACTTGGGACCTTGGGCTTGTGAGGCAGTTGGGGAACCACTGAACTAAATCCCCAGCCCAGCCCTTTTTTTTTTTTAGACAAGATCTCATTAAATTGCCCAGGCTGGGCTGGAACTTATGATCTACCTACATCAGCTTTCAAAGTAGCTGGGATTGTAGCTGTGTGCCACCAGCTATTTATTTGCTCTTCTGTTGCAACTTTACTACAGTTTTTTTTTCAGTACTGGGGACTGAGCCCAGGGCCATCCACACACATACTAGGCAAGTGCTCTACCACTGACCTACGTCCTCAGCCCTTTTTAAAATTTTTTTATTTTGAGACAGGGTGTTGCTAAGTTGCCCATGCTGGCCTCAAACTTGCAACCCTCCTGCCTCTACATCTTGAGTAGCTGGGATTACAGGCATGCACCACAATACGCCACTTACAATAATTTTTTTAAGTTAAAATGTGGTTGGTTTGGTTTGTTTTGTTTTGTTTTTGGTACCAGGGGCCAAACTCGGGTCCTTGTGCTTGCGAGGCAGGTGGCAGAACCTGGGCTGGGGATTTAGCTCAGTGGTTCCACCGCCTGCCTCAAAAGCACAAGGACCTGAGTTTGATCCCAGGTACCAAAAAACAAAAATCCCTGGCCCTAAAGTGTGCTTTTTATGGTCATAGTTCATCACTGATTACTAAAATTTACTATTTTCTACATGTGGACAATAATGTTATGACATTATTTTCCTAAAAGTTAAAAGTTTTTTACAGAATTGTACTTTCATGATTATAAATAATATGAGTTTGAAGTTGGCCAGGCACAGCTGAGCAGGGAGGATGTATGTATATATTTGTAATGCTTGTAGTAGCTAACATGAAGCTGCATCGGTGCTTCAGTGTAGTAATTCACCCAATGCTCAGAGCAACCCGTGAGGGAGAAAATATTGTCTTCATTTTACAAATGAAGGCGAGGACTAAAGTAATTAAATATATACTCAAGGCCACAGGATCACTGGAACTTGGATTTGAACCAAGTTCCAGCATCTTTAATTGCTATATAATGTTATGGACTATATTCAAAATATTTCAAGGTAGCCGTATGTGATGGCACAGCTACCCAGGAGGCTGAGGCAGGAAGGAGGCTTGAGCCTGGGAGTTCAGAGCCAGTCTGGACAGCATAGCAAGACCCTGCCAATCAATTAATAAATAAAATGTTTAAGAAGATATTTTGAGGTATTGTTATGTTTGATTTTCATGAGAATCTGTTAAGTTGGCAAAGCATATGATAGCCTTTTCGTTTTATGTATGTGAAAATTGAGCCTCAGAGAAGTTACTCTTTGCTTTGTGCTTGGTCACTAAGATTTTATAATGGGATAATCATTCTTTATGTGAGTTCTGTTTTGATTATCCAAAAACATGAAGTGGAAAGAAATATTACATAAATGAGAGTAATCTCAAACATCAGTCTTAACTCTTCAACCCTTGAATTTACATACTGCTTCCCAACCTCTTGCAAACTGCCTCTATTTTCTAATACTTTATAGGGCTGGAGATGTAGCTCAGTTGGCACCGCGTCTCCCTGGCAAGTGCAAGGTCCTGAGTTCAGTTCCCGGTACTGGGAAAAAAAAAAAAAGAAATAGTTTAGAAAAGAGCACTGTCAAGGCCAGACATGGTGGCACACGCCTGTGATCCCAGCCCTCAGGAGAACTGCCTGGAGTTGGAGGCCAGCCTGGGCTACATAGTGAGTTCAAGGCCACCCTGAACTATGTAGGGAGACCCTGTCTCAAAAACAAAAAACATAAAGAAAGAAAGAAAGAAAGAAAGAAAGAAAGAAAGAAAGAAAGAAAGCAAGCAAGCAAGCAAGCAAGCATTGTCAGCTAGCATATGAGAAAGGAGAGAAAACACATTTTTAGAAATTAAAAGGGTATAAGATTAATTGCTAATTAGATAAATCTTTAATCCAGAGTCAACTTTGACACTTTTTCTTTGTACTTCAGCTTCCGCTAGACATATATAATTCCCTCCTACATATTTAAAAAACTTGGGCCAGGGATTTAGCTCAGTGGTTCTGCCACCTGCCTCACAAAGCGCAAGGTCCCAAGTTCAATCCCAGATACCAAAAAATATATATATATTTTTTTAACTTTTTTTTTTTTTGTACTGGGGATTGAACTCGGGTCCTTGTGCTTTCGCAGCAGGCAGCGAAACCACTGAGCTAAATCCCTGGCCCAAAAACTTTTTAATATAATGACTTTAGCAATTAATAGGCTTAAAAAGTCAATAATTTCTGAATGGTGATATTTTGATATAGAATTTTGAACCAGAAGTGTTGATAAATGTAAGACTTTTAAATTAGTCATTGAAAGGAACATATTCCCACTCCCTCCCAGCTTTTACATAGGAGAGGCCCACCACATCTCCAGCCAGTTTACTCTGAGATCAAGTGAACTTTGAGTGGTCTTTAGAATGAAGATACTGTGTTTACATGATACCAAAATATGTTTAGATAAAAAGGCATACTCTCACCTACAACTTAGATACTTTTTTTTTTTTTTGGTATCAGGGATCGAACTCGGGACCTTGCACTTGCAAGGCAGGCAGCAAAACCACTAAGCTAAATCCCCAGCCCCTTAGATACATTTTTATAAAGCTAGCTGCTGCTGATTAAGGTACAGTAGTAATGATAGTGCATAGATACAATTTATAATGTTTGCCAGTATATATTCTATACTGTCTTGATACAGTCGCCATTAGCCACATGTCATATATGGCTATTTTAATTCATTGAAAGCAATTAAAATAAGAAATCCACTTCCTCAGTTTTACCAGCTGGATTCTAAATGTTCCAAAGCCACCTGTGGCCAGTGGTTCCTGTGTTGGGTGGTGAATATTATAAAACAATGCCATCATCACTGAAAGTTCTTTTGGACCAGCACTGCCTAAGTACCTTATTATCTAGAATATAATCTAAGAGGTGATGTAAGTGGGCTCAATTTTCTTGTTGTAAGCAAAGGTTTAATAAGCATCCACTTGGTCAACCAGAAAGTAACTTTATTGTGTCGCTTTTATGGTAGCGGAGAAGAGAATCCTCAGGTTCTTCCTAAATTGTTATGTTAATGTCTCTACTCTTTGGTAGTAATTTCTTGCTTGGTTCTCTATTAAAAATAAGAATACAGCCGGGGATTTAGCTCAGTGTTTTCGCTGCCTGCTGAGCAAGCGCAGGGACCCGAGTTCGATCCCCAGTACCAAAAAAAAAAAAAGAATACAAGGGCTGGAAAGATAGCTCAGTGGTAGAATGCTCACCTACCATTCTGGAGGCCCTGGACTTGATTCCCAGCAACACACACATACACACGCAAAAGCATGTATCTTGGTAATAGGTAAAAATACATTTGATTGCTTATAACATGTATAATTAATGACATGTTTATTCTTGCTTATTTTCGTCTCCTGGTCCAGGTAGAAGAGTCAGCAATGATGGGGGTAAGTGGCTATGTGGAGTATCTCCGGGAGCAAGAAGTATCTGAGCGGTGGTTCCGGTATAATCCCCGTCTCACCTGCATCTACTGCGCCAAGTCTTTCAACCAGAAGGGGAGCCTGGACCGCCACATGCGCCTGCACATGGGGATCACACCATTTGTTTGCCGCATGTGTGGCAAGAAGTATACCCGGAAAGATCAGCTGGAGTATCATATCCGTAAGCACACAGGCAACAAGCCCTTTCACTGTCATGTTTGTGGCAAAAGTTTCCCCTTCCAGGCCATCTTGAATCAGCACTTTCGAAAAAACCACCCTGGCTGTATACCGCTGGAGGGGCCTCACAGCATCTCACCTGAAACAACTGTCACATCTCGAGGACAAGTTGAGGAAGAATCACCTTCACAGGAAGAGACAGTTGCTCCTGGGGAAACCACCCAGGGCTCTGTGTCCACTACTGGGCCAGATTGAAAGATCGAGGGGGAGGGGGCAGACCCTCTTCCCCTCTGGGCCGTAAGCAGCCCACATCAGGGCCATGGGCTAGTACTTAGATTCACAAAATGCCACATCACTAGACCAGATGTTCCCAAGATATTGCCAAACTAAAGGGTCAGCAACATACAAAAGCACTAAAGGCTCGTCCCCTTCTCCTTCCACCTCACACTTTGGAAAATAATTAAGCAAATCAACTTTCTAATTCAGGGATCAACAGCCTTGGTTTGTTAACTTTATAAGAAAAAATTTTTTAACAAAACTATGACAAATCGTCATTTATCTGCCAGTCATGTTGAAACACTGTACTTAGATCCATATCATCTTGGTGGCTGTAATTGCCCAGTATCTAAAACATGCAACAGGAGCCTCGGACATCTGAAGCAACCAACCACAATAGAGGAGGTAGTCGTGAGGAGGAGGATTCCTTCCCTGCCAGAATCTTCACACTTAAAGGAAAAAAATGAATGAATACTGGTGGTTCTTACTGTTCTGGAAGGTTAGACTTTTCTTTGCCCTTACTAGGCAGCCAATACTTTGCCTGATTTTTCATGTCATCAGCCATCTTGGCGCAGTGTTCTAGTGGGCAGCATCACCTGAAGCACTTTAGGCAACTGGAAGTGAAACAAGCAGCAAAGTGTTTGTAGTAGGTACTGCTGCATTTGGGGGCTTGAGTGGTATATTGAGGAAAAGAGGAGCAGGGAAGGAAGTGTTTGTATGTTTTGCAAATATTGAGCAACACAGAGCCATACTGCAGCTTCCTGACTGATACTTATAAACCATAGTGTTTATACATTCTTGGTGTTAAGGGAATGGCTCTAGTTCAGATGAATTAACCTGTTAGGCTGACTACCAAAGTTTCATCCAGTCTATTTGGCTCCTACTTTCACACAACAGCAATACTCTACATCAAAAATGTCACTTTCCAGTGAAATGAGCCTGGATTGTATTTTTAAATCCACAGGTGTCCATATTTGATAACTTTTATATGAAGTTTTAAACACATTTTTTTCTGCAATACTGTGGTTGAAGAAACTCAACACAATTGTTCTTACTGCAACCACAATTTCATTTCCTTCTACATATGTAGTAGTTTGTATTTTCAGTCCAATGAAGAACCTCACTTAAATCTGTCTCGGGTCAGCAAACCTAGTTATTCATAAACCTACCATCAGCACCTTGCTGGTGACTCCAAGAGCTTTGATTTTTTAATAACACTGCAGGGCACTTACCAGAAAACATCATGCACAATCGTGTTGCAATAAATGATCAAGGGGTCAGTTTTGATCAGGTCTGGTAACTTCATCATTCCTAAGATTTTTAAAACTTCAGAGGGACCTTTTTAGTAATTCTGGGTTTTTCTGAGATTCTTAATCCAGCATTGAATGAACTTAACAAGCATGTAGAGCTTTAGATGCCCTGTCTTGCATGCGGAGAGAACAGGAAGAATACTGAGGGATGCAGGCAGATAGATGCTTACAACTTAGAGTGCAAATAGAACAAGAGAAAAAACTATAGTTTCTCTTGATTTTTAAAAAAATATATGTAAGTATGTAATGGGTTAAGAAATTGTTTTGGTGCAGAGACATAAATGATTGTAACAGAGATTTGGGAGAGGGACTGGTCAAACCTGCACTGGAGAGCCATTTGTGAAAATGTTAGTTGTATGCTCCTTTCCTGAGAATGCTTTGTAGTATGTGGAAGGTGGGTAAAAAAGAATGACTTTTTTCGCTGATGAGAAATTAGGATGCAAAGGGTAGCTTTAAGCAATCTGAGAATTGCACATAGACACACAGCTGTACTCTATCTATAGGGAAAGTCTTCTGGAAAAGCATAGAAATTCGTCTTTTTGAGGACTGTCACGATGCTACCATCTGATAAGAGCCTAACCTTAAAGGCAGCATTGGAGCTGTATTTTTTTAGGAGACATAGACTGGAACATTCTCTTTAGTTGGATAACAGCATGATACCTTGAAAACTGTCTCCTAGAGCCATATTAAGGGGATGGGTTGTGCTTTGTGGACTAGAAATACAGAGTTGAAATTCGACTGAAATCCTTCAGGAAACATTTCACCTGGTAATCAAGGCTTTCAATGCACAGATTTCACCATAGTTAAACAGGCAGGGAGCTGGGAAGTACAGAATATGCTGCTTTAAATGGAGCTTTTAAGCCTACCAAAAAAAAAGTTAAGTTCACCCTACTTTTGAGAAATACTATGCTGAAAAGTTCTTTATTGCTTTGTTAGTTTTTTAGATTACATGTGAGAAAATAGAGCTTTTTAAACTATTACCAAATTGCAAAGGCGAAGTACAGTGATTTCTGTAAAGAGAAAACTTTTTGCAGCATTTGTTAGTACTCCTTTCAGAATTGCAGCAAATGTCTTAAATGCAGTAGGGACTGTCTAATTCATGTGGAAATCATATGCGTGTTTGGTAGGTTCCCCCTCCCTTTCATTCACTTCCGTGTAGGTTTTTACTGCATTGATACTGTGAATAGTGCTTCCTGGTTGTCTAGAACCACATCAGCACAGTCATGTTTCCTGGTTCTCTCTTAATTGGCCTAGCCAGAGCCATGAAATAATGAAAATTTAAGCCAGGCTAGCTTTTAAACAAATTGAAACTTCTGAAAGCAATTTCTTTATTTTAGTTAGAAGAGATATGATTCTAAATATCCAGGATTCTTAGCCAGGTTCACTGTGACATTGCCCAAGTTCTTAGGTAACATCACTGTAGGAGTGTAGGAGTTAGTAATGTTCTACATACATTAATGAATACCTGTAATCATGTGTGCATGAAGGATATGTCTTAAGGATGTTCTTAAATTTACTTTAGCTGATGCTGAAAACTCATTACCAAATCTTAACTTGCACATGTCACCTTGTGAAGGGAACTGCATTAGCACTGAGAGCTAAGTAATGATTAAGAAACTTAATGCCATGAAATTGTAAACACTGGGATGATTTTCATTTATTGCGTGGCACTTAATAGCAAAAGACCTACCTGTCCAATATTCTAAGCAAAAAAGGAGAAATGGCCACATACTATTTTCATTTTAAAATGCACCTTTTATTCTCTGCCAATTCTGATACCAAGATAAAATACCGCATTGGCATGACAGTAACTCTGTACTTAGGCAGAAAGGCTCTTTCTAATGACTTGTTCTCTTTTTACTCAGAACCATATTTACCTCTAAGCTGAGTTTTATTTTATGTAAGTTACAAGCTGCCCCACACCATTTTATTACATTGAAGAGTTAAGTCTAATAATCTTGACTATGTAAAAATAATTTAGTTTGTACAAGATCAGAAGAAAGCAGTTAAGGAAAGTTTCCCTGCTTTTTTAGCATTTTTTTCAGTTTTCCATTTTCCCCTATAAGTCAAGTATGGCTTTCCAAAGATGGTAGGAGAGCAGACATGGATTATTTTCCCGCTAACTTCACAGCTGAAATCTGGTTTACGTTGCACGTTGTCTGATGGAAGAGTGAAATAGGGAGCTTCACTTTAATAACTGAATACTCTTTGGCCATGAAATAACTTTTAGAATTGTAGCTGTTACTTGACACTAATTGTGGGGTTTTTTTTTTTAGCTCAGGCAAACTACATTTTATTTAATTAGATTATCCAATTTAAAGAAATGAAAGCAGCCCGGCCTGGTGGTGCACGCCTGTGATCCCAGCACTCGGGAGGCTGAGTAAGGCAGGAGGAGCAAGGCGAGTTTGAGGCCAGCCTAAACTATATAGCAAGACCCTGTCTCAAAAAAAAAGAAATGAAAGCAATAGATAATAAAAAGGAAATGAATCGAGCAGACAAAAGTCTTCTGAATCATGGTGGAAAAACATTTAATCAAAAAGGAGTTGGAATTCTGGAGGTTTTTCTTTTTTCATCTACAACTGTGATTTTTTTTTCTTCTTCAAATGCCCTTCCTCTTATCTGTGTATTTGTCCAAGGGACAACAGAGAAGTCTTTATTGAACTTAGTCTTGGAAATGGAAGTCTTATGCCATATGAGAAAGAATTTAAAATATTCAAATATTTTGGTAGCTAAGATTTCAAAAAGGAGCAAGCAGTTGTCAGGTAAATACTTCAGGGTTCAGCAAACCACGGCCCTCAAGCCAAATCCTAGGCCACCTACTTGTAGAAACAAAACTATATTGGAATAGGGCCACACCTGTGCATTTGGTCTTTCTGTGCATTATGGTGTGTTTCTAGTGTCATGATAAAGTACACAGCCTGTACAGTACATGGCCTTCATAGTTTATTTTGAGACAGGACCTCACGAAGTTGCCTAGGCTGGCCTTAAACTTTCTGTCCTCTGCCTCAGGCTCCTAAGTATGAGTATGCGCCAACATGCCTGGCTATCCGTAAGTTTCTTTAAAGAGCTTGCCATTTTTTTTTCTAGATCCTTTTCTCATGAACCACTTTGTTTTTCTATTTCATGATTTCCATTGATTAAAGGGCATTTAAAATGGGTTTATTATTTATTTTCACCTTAAAACGGCAGATAGGTTAAAGTTTAGGATGGTAGTTGTTTATAACAAGATAATTCTGCAAATCAAATAATTTCCATGCGTAATAATATGGTGTTAAGTGGACACCATGTTTACATAAAAGACTGTTTGAAAAGTAATGTTTTTATAAGTGAGTTTTGCCATTCCTCTGAGTTGACTTGAACTGGTTTGATAGTAATGACCAGAATGAATTTATTCCCATTAGAATTAAAAAATATGGGCCGGGGATTTAGCTCAGTGGTTTTGCCGTCTGCTACGCAAGCACAAGGACCGGAGTTCAATCCCCAGTACCAAAAAAAAAAAAAGTAAGAATTAAAAAATAATTTGAGTAGTTTCAGTTCTTACCAGGAGTACTGTTTTTCTAGATTAGAAACCTATACTTTTCCCCTAGCCTATAAATCTTCACTTTAATTTCCTGAAGTAAACTCACTCTATTCTTACATAGAGTACTAAAAACCCAAATCTTCCTTTTTTTTTTTTCCCCTCCCTGGATGTTTTAAATATAATGAAACATCTGAAGACTTCTTTCCATTTGTTAGTGTTTCTAATTCTTATGTCCTATATCACAACTGAATATACTGTGAATCTTAAATCTGAATTAATCTGTAATGACAGAAGTTAAAGTATCTCATGGGAGCAGATCTCCTATTCCAATCCCTTGTCTCCAGTGATAGGTAATATTTAGGAGAATCTGTTCCACTAAGTAAATTCTAAGTGCTTTTTTTTTGGTACTGGGGATCAAACTCGGGTCCTTGTGCTTGCGCAGCAGGCAGCGAAACCAGTGAGCTAAATCCCCGGCCCTCTAAGTACTTTTTAGTACCAGACAACATGCTTGGAATTTGTGTAAAAAAATTGGATTTAAACATAGTTTAGATGTGGCTTTCCATACTTGAGAGTCCTAAATCCGCTTGGTTGGTGTCTGGTGCTTTTTAAAAGCCTGCGTTTTTCAGTATCCTGAGATAAAAATTCAAAAAGAAAGGGATAGAATTAGCTATACTGTGTTTAAGTGGCATAACTGTAATTAATGCTCAAAATTATCCTACGAGGTAGTAACAGTACTAAAAATAGCCCACTGTTTTGATGTTTATGTGCTTAAATTTAAGAATAACTCATCTAATCCTATGACAATCCCATGAAAATGGATGCTGTTATCATCTTCATTTTCGAGAGTAGAAACACAGTTTGATCTAGACAGTCTGACACCTGACGCTCTCCGTGAACTGTTGCCTCCAGTGGGTGTAGTTACACCACACTTTATAGCTGAGAAAACTGATGAGCCCATTGTTGTAAACTGCAGGACCACTATTTACCATTCTGATTGCCCAGAGTGTTTTCACTACATCACATGCACTGCATTTATTATAAAAAGTTGGCCAGAACTGGATTATACAAGAGCCAGTAACAGAATTGCTCTACATGAATTTGTACCTTCATGATTTTTTTTTTTCATACCGGGGATTGAACTCAGGACCTTACACTTGCAAGGCAGCCACAGTGCCACTGAGCTAAATCCCCAGCTACATGAATTTGTAATTCAAGAGTAAGTAATTAGATTTTTTTCAAAAGATGATGCATTTGATCTCTGAGCAGATTTAAATATTTACTGGGGATATTGCCCACTGATTCAGAGGAATAAAACTTTTGTAGGTCTAACTGTGAGTGAATGAATGAGTTACTGCCAAGGCAGAAATTACAAGATAATTTTCCACTTATTTATTGCTGTGTAACTATTCTAAAGCTTAGTGGTTTAAAACAACCTCCACTTTGTATATCATGATATTTGTGAATCAGGAGTTAAGGGAGGGTTTTCTGGGCAGTTATGCTAAATGTTTACCTGGTGGTATTCAGCAGGTGATTGGACTGGTCTGGTAGGTCCCAGCTGGTCTCACAGCTGATAGATTGGTATAGAGGTCAGGCTCAGCAGGGCTTCTCTGCTTTGAGTCTCAGGACTCTCCAGGGTTCTTTCTCTAAAGGTAGTCCGACTTCTACCATGGCAGCTCAGGCCTTCCTGGAGGCTGGGCGGAAGGTGCCAGTCCTCCTAAAGGCTAGACCTAGAACTGTCATACAGTTACGGCCATCCTATTGGTCAGCTCACATCTGTGGGGAGAGGAAATAGCGTCCCATTTTACGAAAGCATGTCAGAGATTTGGAACCATCTTTCATTTCCTGTAGGTAACTTTAGGGCTTTTTGTTTTTGTTTTTTTCTTGCCTCTCTTATGGCCAGTTCATAATGCTAGAGAAATCATTGACTATTTACTATGGGTCAGTAAAGGATCTAGAAGAACAATGAGACAAATCCCTGCAGCAGATTTTATTAGCTACCAACTTCTCCCAAGTTTCATTTATGGCAGACTGCATTTTTTCATTTTGTACCCTGTTCTAAGTTGTGACTATTTGCCTGTATTTGCTGTGAACCCACAATAACTATACATGCTGAGCCTAAAATACTGCATAGGAAGTAAAAAGCTTACTGTTAGAGAACTTGATTTATTAGAGATGTCATCTGTATTTTAAGTTTACAAATAAGTGACTGTGGTGTGGAAAAATATGGCTACTAAATTACTCTCAACAGGAGTTTCTAGCATGTGGTTAGATGAGTTATATGGTGGAGATAGTAAAAGTTTTACCTGTTTATCTTAGTACACTATACCTCCTCTGGCATCATTTTGGCCTTAATGACAAATTGGTTCATCCTGTTTTTAGTACCTTTCATACAGGAAAATCTTTTGACTGATTTTACATGTCATTAATCTTGTGGGGTTTTTTGGTTTTTTGCTACGGGGTTTGAACTCTGGACCTTGTGCTTTCGAGGCAGGCGAGGTGCCACTGAGCTAAGCCCCCAGCCCAGTAATCTTTTAAATTTAGCAATTGCTACCAGCTTCTCATTTAAAAAAAAAAAAAGATTATTTAAGTTTTTTGTTTTGATCTAGATTTGTCTGATTTAAGTCACTTTTATTTAAACTCCTGCTATCTTTTTTTTTTTTGGAGACAGGGTCTCGCTGTGAAGTTCAGGCTGGCCTCAAACTCACAGCAATCTTTCTGCATCAGCCTCGGAGTGCTGGGACTACAGGCATGTGCCACCATGCCTGGCTAACCTCCTGCTGTGTTACAATAATCAGAAAAAAAGACTTCCTGCCTTGAGGACAAATATGGGCAGAGAATGAATTCTGCTCTATAAATGATCATCACTAAAACAGAACACGTGTAAAAAAACAGTTTGCGATTATCCATTCCATGTGCTGTTGTTTCCTGGTGAATTAGTTCTGAAGGCTTCTTGCTGATCATCTCCAATTCCCATATAGTGAACAGATAGATTTCTGTTCCTAGTCAGCCCTCAGGAATTTCGAATACAGGAAATAAAGGGATACTCAGGGCCAAAGACTTGATTTACTCTGCAGAATACTGGGAAGGAGAAAAGACACCTTTGGCATTTGCAGTTGGATAACCAGAGATGGAATGTTTGAGGTTTCTGTGCATAATGATCAATTAGATTTTTTTGCAGAGGGGATAGCAAAGTTTTATTAAAGGTAGCAAAAGCAACAGGTTCTGTAGAGCAAATTTAGGCCAAGTAAAAGGAGGAAAAGTACACCCTACAGCACGAGGGCAGGCCACCATGCAGAGAGAACAAAGTGGGCCAAACAGATTTTAATACATAACAATTGGGGCAAGTTTTTAAGGAATAAAAACTGCTTTAAAGTTTTCTTTTGAGCCTCGTTTTCACTCCGGTATAATTAATCTACCTTCAAAGTCTGCCTTTCGTGTGAGAAAAAACCTTTGAAAATATAGTCACAGGGAATGAAATCTTGTGATATTCTATGAAAATGTCTCACATTTTATATTATAATTCTGTGGGCCCTCCAGTTTCTCTGTGAATCCTGTTTGAAATCATTAGGTGGTTGCATGAAAAATAGGCTCTGTGGTCTTGAATTACAAAAGAGAACAAGGTCAGAAAAAAGGGACTCTTGTAGATTGATGAAATATTTTGTTTCTTTTCAGCATCACAAGTCTAAACCATTTCAAGCCTATCACAGCAACCCGAGTAGAAATTACTTAAAGTTTCGATTTCTGCTTTTAGGCACATCTTGAAGCAGACATTAATGACATATTTTAAGATGAGCTACTGAGTTTCCCATAAAGTAATAGAATCCCAACTATAGTGGTTAAGAACCACTCAAAAACAGAAATGCTATGCAGGGAACAAAGCTTAAAATGTGTTTCCTCTGGAAACCAAGATGCTAAAACAGAGGTCACTCAAAGTGTGGCTAAAATCCACCTCTGGAATGGCTATCAGATAGCAGAAATATTTAGAATTTATATGGTATTTCTAATATTTTTACAGAAATAATTGTAAATCATATACCTTGAATTTTTTAAAAAATCAGCCTGTTTTCTTTTTTGGAAGACTGGCCCAATAAAAATAACACTAGTATAATTCATTTGTATATGCATGTGCATTGAACACAGAATGGTATACTAATGATAGTTCACACAAATAACTTTTGTGGGAAGTTCAGCTATTTTCTTAATATCTTTTTTCATAAATGTATGTTTATAAATATATTTACTCATTCACCATGACCTTGGTAGCATGGAAGCATTTTGTTAGCTGTATTATTCTGAAAATCAAATTTTTGGCATAGTAGGCTGTGAGAGTGTCTTGTTAACTTTGTATTTTGGCCAAGAAAATCCTTGCACTTTCTATATATAAAGATGTTATAACACAGTGTATCCATTTAGTGAAGCTGTTCTGTAGAGACACAGATGTAGGTGTTAAAGTAAAATAGATGTTTAAAACCCTGGCAAAAAGAGGGACCTCAAAAAAAGAAACTTGGCTTGCATCTACCTGAGAAGAGTGGGGATTAATACAAAATCTCAGTTGAAAGTAGCTGTTGTTATAAGCATCCTCTTGCTGTGAATTACAGTATTGCCATGAGTTGCCAGCTATGTGTGAGTGTATGTGAGAAAAAGGGTGTTAAATGAAGGCAGATAAAGTCAATGCAGAATATTCTACCTCTAGCGAAAGACAGCATATTCAAGATTGTTCTGCAGCCTCTTAGGCAGGAGACTGAGGTCCTCAGCCACTTCTATCCCCACGCTTTTCTATACTCACTTCAGCTTCTCTACCTCTGAGCACTTGGCTGAAGAAAGAGTGTAGCTCTCTGTAGCAAGCCTAGGAAAACCAGACCTAGGGTGTAGAGGCTGCAGTAGCTGAAATTCCTGTCAGGTGCAGATATTAATGTGAGATTTTATTGCCTAAATCAAACAGTGTCTAGACACTTAATGCTTTTTTTATCCACTGGCTTCTATTTGGCAAGAGTAGCTGGTGGAGGTAGAGTCTTTCTGTTTGTTTTTAAAGATGCACCCCCTCCTTTAATGAGGTAGAACATTTATTTGAGTTACAATTTTCTTTTTTAATCACCACTTGTAATTCACTATTTAGGGACTGGAATAATAACCATATTTTCCTGATAAGAAGCCTCCTGCTAATGTCTTACATGGAGGTATCAAGACATGGGTTTTCAGAGGACCTATTTTGCTTTTAATCACTCCAAAGAGGGATACTCTTGTTTAATACTGATACTTGAATGTTGCAGGTGTCAGAAAATTCCATATCCGTAGTGAAATGCCACTAGGCAAGCTGACCTTGAAATCCAGTGCTGCGTTAGTGGAGTTCCTCTTCGGGGCCAGGTCAAGCTTCCCTACCTTTTGAACATCTGTTACAATTGAGAAGGAACCGTTGTCCTTTAACACTTACCCTAGAATGCTCACTCACCACCTTTTCATTCTCATCCCTGACTAGGTGGAAGATCTAAACAGGGAACCCCAGGAAGCAGTGACAGTGAGAGAGGGACCCATTTTCAGATGTCATATGGGTTGGTACCTGGGTTTAGTTACTAGTAAGTATTTACTTTCCTGGTGACTTTGGGTAAGGCAAGTGGAGAATACAGAGAATGATGAAATTCTAAATAACAAGGCAAACATTACTCATACATGACAACTGACAGAATAATATCTGGCTGAACACACTATGAACCCTGTAGGTAGGTGAGGTGGTAAACCGTACTAACCTACTGACCACAACTTTTTTTTTTTAACCGTAGTTCTCAGCCTATAAGCCATGCTAATGCACTAGTCTCAGGAATTAATTTCAGCTTAGGAAATGTTTCCCTCTGGCTTGTCATGTGTGCCCAGAGTCTTGTCCTAGGCCTGCCCCCTGATGTTTCACTATAACACATACTTCAGGTGCAGTCAGTACTGTGGGTCTCACTCCCTATTCTGGTCAGTGATCTATTTAAAAACAAAGCAGTGAGAAGTGCCTCGGTGATTTCACTGAGACCTGTGATTTAACAGGTCTCATGGATTTACATGAGCCTGGAAGGCAGCTGTGGGGGCTTACGTGCCTCTGGCTTGGATGGACACTGGCATTGAGCTTTGTATTACAGAACCATTGGCCTGGGCCAGTAGTGCTCCATCTTGGCTGCACATTAGACTTGCCTGGGACCCCTCCAGACATTCACATTTCACTGGTGGTGTGCTACTGAAGTTTCAGAAGCTCCTGGTGGGCTGAGAGGTGTAAAGCAGGTACTCAGGGGGTTCAGTCCCTGGCAGTGGGAGTGGGGGCTGACTAGATGATTCTAATGTGCAGCCAGTGTGGGGATCACTGCCTAGGTGCTCCTCAGAATCTTTGGCAGCTAGTTCTCTTGACATCAGATACCTTTATTGATTTCCCAACCATGGCTCTCAATTTAATTTAGAATGGGCCAGGAGGGCTCAGGTGATAAAATGAATCATCCACTTCTCAGAGTAACTGTGGAGGGAGATGCTGTGATCCATCCAAATTCCTCTCTATACCAAACAAGATGTGCATAAGTAAGCGAAACACATTTTCAGTCTGGTCTCTAAAATCTTTCCTTTGCGTGTGTGATTGAGTGGAGAGTTCTTAACTTTGCTAGCTGCAGTAGAGCACTTGAATGTATTAAAAGACCCAAGCTGCCTAGGATAAAACAAATAGGTGGCATTGTTAAAGTTAATGGAGAAAGGAAGGATCCTGCCTGAGATGACTGTGATACTTTGAGATTGTCTCTTACCCTGTCTTCTAAGTGGGATCTCTAAGTTCACTTTTTTCATTCACTTTTCCTTGTGAATGAAATTTACTAGCTAAGGCTTAAATATTCCTGGATATTATGAAATGTGAAATGAGTCATTTTAGCATCTTTGTCCTAACCCAGTAATTCTGAAATGAGGTTCCATATCTTCATTCTTCTCACCCAGGGCAGAAAAGGAGTTATAATGGCCACCGTAGTTTGTCACCTGCCTATAGTATCTCATATGTAGTACTAGGGAGTGGGGAGTTGTTTTATTACCCATAAAAAATAGTGAGAACCACTGTTCAGACTAGCTACCAAGTGACTTCTGACTCATGAAAGAAATGTGTATTTAAGAACAAGTTCAAATGTAGCAGTCTCTTTTCAGAGAGTATTCTGGACCCAGTAGAAAATTTCATTTGTATATGGTCTATAAGTAATTGATCATTTGAAATCGCAAGAGGTGGTATGTTGAAGAAGAAAAGGTAGATTGAAGAAAAGGTTGGTTCTTAGTTGAGGACTGTATTAGAATCAGACTATGATATTTTTTTCAAGTAGCATTAGGCCTTGCTTTTTGCTTAATATGTAAATGCCTCCTATGCCTTAGAAAATCTGCTGAAGGCTTCCTGTCTATGGATGGAATAGAAAAGCAGTAGCCTTCAGGACTTCAAAAAGGGTAGCCCCTGGGGGTTTTCATACTGAAGAATATTGTAGAGTACTGTGAACCTCATTGGACTTTATGGATTTATACTGCACTGGATTTTAAGATTTCATGGGGGAGAGGAGAGGAGAGGAGGAAGATAGGGAAGTAAAACTGTAAAGGTAAATGTGTGAGCATGTGCTATAGCTTAAGCAAGGAATAAAACAAATTCCTAAAAGGAATTCCCTAACAGGACTGTGAAATTAAGTCAGCATCCTCTACCTTAATGGGTTAGCTTCCTGATTCCTTTCAGGCCTCTAAGAAATCCTTTGTGAAACAGCTAGACAGATGTTCACTAGCTTGCCCCATTCCTTGCCCTCAAAAGAAAAGCATTCCCAAAGTATAGGCAAATGGAATGTGTTCCATCTTGGTTCATTAGCCTTTCATCTGCTGTGATCTGTTTTCACATTTTTAGCCTGTTGCGTTATTTTGTGCTCTAACTGCAGAACTTAAATGGATTTTCTAGTTTAGTCAGCAACCATGGCTTCCTTCTCCTTTAAGAAATCTTTAAAATCAGTACAAGGAGAAGTACTTTGGAAGAGCATTCAGGTTTCCTGTTTCCTCATAATTGCAGGATGGGACCCATTTGTGCTCTGCCTCCAAGAGGTGAAGAGAAGGCTGAGGATTCAAAGATAGAAAAGTCAATGTAGCAGAAAATTGGTTTTCTTCAGGTGGACATAATCTGAAAGAAATCTCTCAAACTGTTCTCTATGGTGCTTACATGATGGGTGACCGCTGTCTCCCATCCACCTGTCCCTGGCACTGTGCCTTCCCCCTGGTCACTGTGAAATGCAGATCACACTGGACTCAGGCCAGAATCCAGGACAAGTTCCCCCTTCTCATTTGAGCCCATCATTTCTTCCTACAGCTGAAAATGTAGCATTTACTTCTCTTTGAGAAACTTGGGATTTTTCCCCCCAAGAAACAGTAAACTGTTTAAAAGAAAAAAAGACTGTGGTTGTAGCTATCAAATACAGAGATCATAGGAAGATTTCACTCCCTCTCAGTTGATATTGATAACAGCAAGAATCAACTGTGCCCACCTCTTCCTGAGTTTCTAACAGCTCCTGTAGTACCTGTAGACAGACGTACCTAACAACAGTTTTTCACAACTTGCTAATCAAGGAGGATTCATATTAAAACAGACAATCAGTTTCTAAAATGTAATCCCTGAAAGGGAATGGGATAGAGTATTTTTAACTATAGTTAAAGAACCTACCAGTCTGTTTTTACCCTTTGGAAAAAAAACCCTAACATTTGAAATTTGTGTGTTTTGTGTGCAGCAATTGCTCCATTAATATAAAGATGACGTCAGTGAAGCAGGATAGCACTCTTGTGTCACTGGCTTTATGATGCATCTTATTTCCTAAGACATCTGTTTTTGTGACCTTAATTATAAATACCTATATATATATATATATATATATATAGAATAGGAGTTTCTCTCACCCCACCCTTCTTTAATCATTATCACTTAAATGTAAACCACCACCTCCTCCCTCCCCCTTTACTGAAAATAATGCACTTTAATTCCTAAGGAGAGTAGCGTTCCTGGCCCTGAAGCCAGAGTACTTCAGGAGGAGAGTTGAGGAGGAAGAACTCTTGCCAGACCTGTAACATTAACCAAGTTTCCTAATGTGCACACACAAATAACATCCATTTTTAAACTGCCCCCACCTTCTCCCTGCCGAAGGGAAAAAGAACAGCCAAATTGAAAAGACTGCAAATGCCCAACCCTGATTTTGGAAGTTTCACTGGTTTAAAAATTTTTTTTCATTTTTAACTTTAAAATTACCTTTTTTTGGAGAAAGGATCTCGCTATGTAGTTCAGGCTGGCCTTGAACTCACTTTGTAGCCCAGGCTGGCCTTAAACTCTCTGCTATCCTCCTGCCTCAGCCGCTCAAGTGCTGGGGTTTCAGGAATGCACCGCCACACCTGGTGAAAATTAGCTGATATTAACTTATTTTCTCAGCTACCAAGTTGTCATAATTTTCTGTGTTCATTGGGAGGCTGAGATGCTTTTGATTAAAGTCATGAAAACACAAAAGCTCTGTGATTCAGAATTGTTTCCTTTCTACGTATCAGGTCTGTTGTCCCTTATTTTTTTCTTTTTTTTTTTTGGTACTGGGGATCAAACTCGGGTCCTTGAGCTTGCACAGCAAGCAGCGAAACCACTGAGCTAAATCCCCAGCCCTGTTGTCCCTTATTTTGATGCTCGAACTCTCCTCCTGTAGATTCTGTCTTTCCCCTGACGACAAGCCAATAGTTCTTGGAGGGGTAGCATGTCTCCTAGAGCCCCAGGAGCCCTGTTGGGTCGGGGAGGGGGGGAGGGCCAAGACTAGGGTTGGGGGAGGGAGATTCAAAGAAAGAGTTAAGATATGTATGGGTTTATATAAACATATTTAAAGCAGTTTAGCAAAAGCTTTCTCGTTGAACAGCTTTAAGAACAATGTGAATGAGATCTTAGCAACTTGGTTAGTAATCTGAAAAGTCTATTAATGTATACTTGAAATTCTGTTTGTATAAAAAATGCATTTTTTCTTTATTTTAACACTGTAAAAGAACATTATGCATGTGAGTGGTTTGAGAATTAAATGGTTTAATACTCATATTTGAATCTCTGTCTTGTCTGAGTATGGAGAGATCATTCGTTTACATTTTGGGGAATTTTTTTAATGTGAGAATCCTGAGAATTCAAGCTTCCCTTTCAGGATGTCTGCCACTTTTCGAGATGTAGTAGTGACATGACTCCCTCTTAATTTTCTTGAGCCAGGTGTGTTCCCTGGGTGGAAAACAGTTGAAAGCATCATTTTAGCAAGTGTCCCAGTAACATCTCTGTTTTTCCTTCCCTGGTGTTTATTTCACATAGTCGAGTCTATTCATGATTGTGAGATGGGAGCAGTTGTATTTATCTTTATTTCTGTTGACAAGCCAAAATAAGCATGAAGAATAAGAATATTTTAGTTAGCACAAGGGTTGGCTACTCTCCCCATGAAGATAATGGTGTTGAGGGCAACTTCCCTTATAAGAACCAGGAAGGGCCTGTTGGCCTTGAAGGTCACCCTGTTGGGGTTCAGCGAACGGCCAGCAATCACGATGCCAGTACTCGCTGCTGCTTCACTGCCTTCCTCATTTACCTGCAGGTCACAGAGGAAACAGAACAGCTGGTTAACTACACTGCCCTGCAGTTCACCATAGGTAGGTGAATCATTGCAGACACAGCAGCCCCTCAGATGCTCTTCGGCTCGGGAAGCAGATACCTTGGGTCAGACTGTGTCCCCTGCAGAACCCTTCCACTCCTGCTCTCACCAGGGAATGGAGTGCACTTGTGTTCACCTGAGTCCGTGATGCTCCACCCGTGTAACCACTCAACCAGAAATCTGTGCCTAAGGTGGTCACATCTCTGGCTGGCATCACTGAACATGGTGTCACAGGAACATTTTGTACGAGCTGCTGAAAGAGAGTCTGACTTGATCAGTGCTCCGTGGAGAGTCAGGATCCCAGATATAATAACCCCAAGCTGTTACTCAGGACCTCCCGGTTAGGAAAAGAGGGTCTCTGGCTGGCTGGCTGGAGGAGTTTTCTTGGGGAACAGACTGTGGGATTTGGACTTGGCTGATAAGCAGAACTGCCATGTGCCTGTAGAAAATATTACCTAACAACTCAGAGTATCACTGACTGGTCCTTTTTTTTTTTTTAGACGAAGTCTCGATATGTGGTTCAGGGTGACCTGGAACCCACAATGTAGCCCAGGCTGGCCTTAAACTCACAGCGATCCTCCTATCTCAGCTTCCTGAGTACAGGGTGGTCTTGGCTCTTAATGAAGCACTTTAGATCCCTGAGCTATGGAGCTGTTTTTTGTTTTGTTTTGTTTTTTCCAGTACCGGGAATCAAGTTCAGAGCCTGGCACTTGGCACCGCTAAGCTACATCCCCAGTCCTGTTTTTTGAGATAGGGTCTGGCTGTGTAGTCCAGGCTACCATCAAACGCTCTCTTTACTTATTTATTTTTGTTTGGGTTTTTTTTTGTTGTTTTTGTTTCTTTTTGTTTGCTTTTGGTACCGGGATCAAACTCGGGACCTTGCGCTTTTGAGGCAGGCGGTGGAACCACTGAGCTAAATCCCCGGCCCTGTTTGCTTGTTTTTTGAGGCAGTCTTATATCTAGTTGAGGCTGCCCTTGAACTTGTGATCCTTCCGCCTCGGCCTCCTGAGTGCTGGGATTACAGGCCTGCCCCACCATGCCTGGCTGTCAGACTCTACAACCCAGGCTGTCTTCTAACATCCTCCTGCCTTAGCCTTCCCGATGCTGGGGTCACAGACATGCGCCCCTGCACTCAGCTTTGTGGAACTGGTTAATGATGTTTTACCCTCTTCTCTGGCTCTGCCATCCCCCTTCCTTCTCCTTTACCCTCCACCCCCTCATGCTGTCTATGTCATTCTCACCCTAGAACAGCAGTTACGAATGGACTAGTGATCAGGATGCTTCGGTCTCCTGACTCCCTCCTGGTCCCCTGATCTCTCCACTTTCCTCGGAAGCAAACATTTCCCACTGAGCGTGGGCCGAAGCCATGCGTACCGGCGGCCTGCTCCGGAACCTCTTCCCCCCCCCCCCCAGTCTCTTCAGTTTCCTCAGCCCAGTGAGCTTCTCTAACAGCAGCCCATCCCCTTTCCCCTCAGCCTGCCTTCCGCAAAGAACACCTACACCGGGGTTCCCAAATTGAGTACATCGAGAGCCCCAGGAGCTGTGTCCCAGCGGCCGCGGGGGCGGGGTCACCGCAGGGCGTCCGAGGAGGGCTGCAGACGAGCTGAGAGGGGCACAGGAGAGGCCGTGGCCCGTCGCTGGGCAGCCAGCTCAGAAGCTACAGACGACCTAAGACTGCTGCGTCGGACCCTAGCGAGGCAGAACAGCAGCACAGGAAGGAGAGCGGAGGGAGGTGAACTAGCTCACCTCGAGAAACGCCTTGTGGAACGCGTCTGACACGTAGAGGTCGTCCCGGCCTTCCGCCACGATACCTGCGAGGAAGACCAGGGAGGCGCTGAGAGGTGGGGGGTCTGGCTTCACCCGCGGCGGGAAGTCACTGAATTAGGACATCCTTCGGGGCCTTTCTGAGAAGCAGAAAGCAGTCTTGGAGCTTCACCTGATGATATCCCCACAGTAAATCTGTGTTGGAGAACGTGTGGATTTAATCTCCGGTTTCAGCCCTTTGGCGCCAGGGTCAGCGCGGTGCTGTGCTGTTAAAGAAAAGCCTCCCGTCCTCGCAGGGATAGCCGACGTTCCTGTCTGCCAAGAGCGCCCCATACTGGAGACCGAAACTTAGGGGTCAGTGACCCAGAGGCACCGCCCCGCCGCCATCAGGTGAAGCACCAGCAGCGCCCCTCGCGTGCTCCGGAGCGCAACACAGTCTAGAAAATTTCAGAATCAATTCTATTTCTTTGAAAAAGGGGTAACAGCGGTTACTGATACATCACAACTGAAAAACTTATAGTACAAGTTTCCTGACGTGCATTTCCTGAGTGAACCCAAATGATCATTTTTAAAAACAAAGAATTTTGACAAAGCAAAATAAAAGTTTATGGCTTTAAGTGACAAATTTTTTTAGCAACAAAAATATTGAGAACAGTGATGTCATGTGATAAATTAAAGCTGTGCTACCACATAGAAAAATTTGCTACCGTCAGTTAAGTATCATACAACTTTTCAAACTAAAGAAAATCAAAAGACTAAAAACCTGATAGTTTAATTTTAAAGAATATTGATTTCTACACGTGTCAAGAAAGGGTCAATGTAGTGCAATGGTCTGTCCTTTCCTTGTGGTGCATTTAAAAGACGGGTTTGAGAGGAGAAGAAACTTCTTTCTTGCTTCTGAAAGCAGAAGACTGACTGACTGGAGTGGGGCATAAACAGACCTTTCCAGTGTGTCCTCCACTCTGCTGTCACTGGTGCTCGTGTGCCAACCAAACCTTTACTTGAGTCATCTGTGGCAGCACTCCTTAGGGTTCAAGCCCACAGTTAAGGCTGGTCTGCTAGGTTAGAAAAGGGAGGCACTAGTGTCATTAAATTCTTTTGGACGAATCATACCAACTAAACACCATTAACTGGGAAAAAGCTGGCTGTATCTGTCCAAGTGACCCTAAAGAATACAAAGGAGCCCTTCACATGTCAGGTGAAGGGCTATTAAATGTCAGCTAGGCCCATTTTGGGAGTGTGCAGGTGTCGCCTGCTCTTAATACCTGTCTCTGCTCTGAATTCCAATCCCTCTTTGAGTTCTTCTCCACCTGGCTTCATCTCCTCAGTCAGAGTGACAGGGTGCTACTGCTGATTGGGCCCATGGAGCTAGAAGAGCAGACTATCCCTTCTGTAGCCGAGAAGACTGAGGCCTCCAAAGGGCAAGGGATTTCCACAGGTCAGCAATAGACCTGGGGTCGGAATCCAGGTGTCTTGACTTGATGCTCTTTTCTATTCTTCACCTCTTTTACTTGTGTTCAAACCACCCTGGGGGCAGCGAGAGGAAGAAGGTCCTTCCTATACTAACCTGGGAGTTTGGACTTCTCAGGATCGAACAGGTCAACTAGGCCCATGTCCTGCAGGCGCTCCTTCAAGCTGAAGCCATCCTCCACTCGGAAGCGGGGCATGTGCACCACCAGCATGGCCTCCGCCAGGTCGTCCAGCCACTCCTGCAGCACCTCTGGGGTGAGATCTCGCTCCACCTTGGCCAGGCTCTTCTCGGGTCCGGGCAGGATGAGCACCATGGTGATGTCGTCACCCTTGAAGGGCAGCTCCAGCACCTGGGTCCCTTCCGCCACGCGCCGGTACTGGAACTTGCCTTCCTGGTACATCATAGACGCGGAACACGTCTCCCCATTAGCCTTGTAGAACAGCTCCTCCCTTGTATTCTCAGGGCTGAACCTTGACTTCCACAGGCCCTGGAAGAAGAGGCCAGGTGGAGGAATCAAAAGCAAGAACAATCCATAGGAAAATATTTATTGACATGAGACATTTACATTATCTGCTTACATTAATATATACAGCTTTTAGGAGAAAAGACTAGAGGCCCATGCGTAAAATGGTTAATAAACACTATGTCAGTGTGATGGAATAACAGGTGGAGTTTGTAGTGTGTACTTTCTGTGTTTCTCAGATTTTCAGCAGTGACTATTGCCTTCATAATTAGAAAAAAATAAAATCTAAAACCAAGAGTAGCCTACAAGCTTCTTACAAGTTCTTCTTGACTTAACTCCAGTTGTTTTTTGCCAGCCTCTGCTAGGGGCTAACAGCCAACGTTCTGGGCTCTGCCTGGACTGATAGACCCAGGGAACATCCCAGGGACTCCTCCAGAAACCCTGCCAGGAAGAGGGTGAATCCTGGCTGGCTCTGAGTACCATTCCTTAGCATTCCTTCTCGCCGTCTCCTTCCCTAAAGCAGTCAAGCTGGGACGGTCTTCCGCACTCTCGGCTGTGTGAGGGGACAAGGGCTCTACTGCCCATGGTCAAATAGCAGAGCCCCTCTTTGCAAAGTCTGAGGGGAGCCTGGCACCTGGATGTTCAGACACTTCAGCAAGAGCACTTGGAGCCACTGTAGAAGCTGCTCTGGACACCAGGGAAATTCTCATCGCTGAGGGCTGTAATAGACTGTCGTTCTCTTCCAGATTTCAAAGGGAGGTAACAGGATGGCAAAAATATGTGCCAACTGTCACATATGCATGTGTGTGTGTTACCATGTATTTCTCATACATATGAGAGTTTATCACCATGCACACCTTGCAGCTGAGTCCTGAGTGTGCATACCCTGCACGTCTACCAGAACGTGCGTGGACCTCTTCTCAGATGCCCAGTGTATAAAAGAGGATGAGTTGAAGAGCAAGAGGAAGTCACCGGGGTCTCCCCAGGCCCATTCTGAGTACCTTGAAGTAAATGGTGTTGACCAGCACCAGAATGGTGAATTCGTCGATTGCTCCATTGGGAATGACATCAGTGATCCTGCCTTCTGTCTTGTTTGCTACCCATTTGTTGATGGTCTTTCTGGACAGCTCTGCATTTTCCTATGGAGAACAGAAAGCAAACCTACCCATCTGTGCTATCTGACTGACTTCTGTGTTTCCCCTGGCAGAATTTTATTTTCTTCATCATCTTTCTGCCCTTTCCACTACTTGGTTAAGAAGCCATCAATTTAACCCAAACTGAGGAAACCTCACATGTCTAATATAGAACAATGGATTTATATATAGTAAATAAATATAAGAAGGCAAAGAAGTAAGAGATAAAGGAATAGAAAGGAAAAAGGGAGATAAGTCTTGAAAAAGTAGCTAAAAGCTGGGTGTGGTGGCACATGCCTATAATCCTAGCACTCTGAAGCAGGAGGATCTCAAGCTCCAGCTCAGCCTGGGCAACTTTGCAATTTAGGGAGACCCTGTCTCAAAACATAAAAGAGCTGGAGATGTAACTCAGTGCAAAGACCGTGGGTTCAATCCCCAGTACTGGAAAAAAAAAATGTTATCTTTTCTGACTTCAGAATATCTGAACTCACAAAAGAAGAGTTTCCAAAACCATGCTCTACAGAAAGCAATGCGTGATGGCAGGGGGTAAAAGGATAGGAGGAGGAGACAAGTGCCCATGTGTTCAAATAAGTTTGAGAAATTCTGGCTGAATAGAGCAGTATATTTCTTTGTTGCAGCACTTCTCAGAACACTTAATAGCCTCGTGTGCTTCATGAATCTCCAAGAGGAGAAGACAACATGCATCATATACCAATTTTATTTGACCTCAGCAACTGTTTACATTAAATAAGTTCTCCCATAGGACCAGGATCTCCTTCCAGTGTATAGCCTTTGTTATATATCTGAACGAGGTGGGTGAAATAAAGAACTGACTTATACAACTTTGTCAGAGGAGAATTGGAATCTAAGCTGTCTGTACCATGGACTTGTGAAGTTTCCAGTAAGAATTGGTACTCCAGGTTCCAGTTTGTGGCCAGTCTTCAGCTAGCATAGCAGTGCTGCCTTTTTCTACCTCCTCACTGTCCCGGTGGACAGAAAGAACTCCTCGGTGAAAGGGGCATCTGCCACTCACCTTGAAGTCCAGGGGCTGGAGCTTGGCGCCATAAACCACCTCACTGATGTCCTGGTAGGTCTCATTGAAGGTCAGGGATTTGTCTCCAAACAGCCGGTTGGCTGATACTAACTTGGAGGACTTGTTGGCTTTTCGATAGAGTCGACAGTTGAGTTTGGCAAAGAAGAAGTGGATCTGATCAGAGGTTTTCTCGGAGATGGTATCAAACTTAAAAACCTGTGGAGGCCAAAAGAAAATGGCGGTGGGTTTGGCAGGACAGTGCGGCCCAGCCTCCAGCCAAAGCCAGCAGTCATCTGCTTTGCGCACAGTGCCCAGCGCAGCATGAATGCCTAGCTCGGACTTGAGGATGAGTAAAGGGACAGAAGAAGGGCAGGAAGCATGAAGGGAAAAGGAAAGACAGTGAGAACAGAGAGCCACCCACAGTCTCAAAAGGGCTCTAGGCCGACATGCAGATGTTTTCTTAATGGGACAGGAAAAGTCCTCTTGGTGTTGGGGACAGAGTGGGAGCCACGATCATGTCTTTCCTTAGAACAGCACTTTCCTGGCATCTACAGGGCTCAGTTGGGGCTCCAGGATACTGGCTATGGTAGGGCTAAGAAAGGAAAACAGTGATTCCCTTAGCAAGGAAATAAACAGGCCTCAAAGCAGAGTGTCTAAAAAGTCATTGGTCATGTCTAAAAAGTCATGGTCAGAGCCATGGAAGCTTCCTCCTCTCAACCACCCACCCTCACCATCAAGGAAAATAGTGAGGTTACTCTTCCCCTCCCTCCAAGCTCTGTCCCATGGTGATAAAAGGCATATCGGTTTTATCTATTCTCTGATTTTGATTTTCCTGATTTTGTCTCAGCATGCAATTTTTTAAAAACCACTATAGCTTGGTGTGGAGGTGCATGCCTGTAATCCCAGCACTGGGGAGGCTGAGGCAGGAGGATCGCCATGAGTTTGAGGCCAGCCTGAACTACATAGTGAGACCCTGCCTCACATAAACAAACAAAAGAAAAGAACCATGCTTTGACTAACAGCTTGATGCTGAGTTTCTTCCTTCTCTAGAGTCCCACCCCAGTTCTCTAATATATGACAGGGCATGGTCAGTTTGGAAATGATGTTCTGTTTCTGTTTTCTTGTTTTATTTTTTGTTCTGCTTGGGATCAAACCCTGTGCATAACTAGGCATAGTCTACCACTGAGATATACCCTAGCTCTGTTTCAGGTCTTTTTATAGAAGGAGCCACATTTAAGCTCTTACGTGCTACAGAGATGTGTCCTGGTAAACAGAAGCATTTTAAGACCAATACCTGTTATACAAAGGTTATAGAAGGGCCTTGAGAAGGCAGTAGTAGTATGTGTTCTACGAGATTCCTAATATACATCAACAAGGAGTAATACTACATAACAGAGAAAGGACAGTGTGTTCAACAAATGGTATTGGAGAAATACACAAAAGATTTAAATTAGCAGACTAGAGAGCCCAGGAATAATTTCTAAAGCTACATATGTTTTGTGGCACGAAGGCATGGATTAGCTCATTACAGAGACTGAACAGATTGATAAAGTCCAGTGGAAACCGGCCACCAGAGGAAAGGTGAACTCTTCACATGCTTCGGTGTCTGGGACTCAGAAACACTGGGCACCACACTCAAGGGTCTTGTGCCTCCCTATAGTTTATCTCTGCTTCCAAAGGGAGACTCAACCTGAAGAGAGCTAACTGGGAACTCAAGTTAAAGGCAGACTAAAGGATCTAGTGTGTCCACTGGTGACTTATTATAGCGGTATCAGTGGTGAATTAACTTGTGTCATTTCTTCTTGTCCTGCCTTCCTTCCTAGCAAAACAAGGAAAAGAATCAATCCTTATCTGAAGCGATCAATACCTTCCTGAGGATCCTTTTGGCTTCCCTGGAACCCAGGTCTCAAAATACAGTCCTCACATCTTTATCCACAAGAGCCCGCGTGCCAGGTCCGCAGGATGGTAAACTGCCCTCCCCTACCTGGCAGGAAGTGGGAGTCTCCACTGCTTAGCACACTACCTGGACAGGCATAGTTCTGACTAGGTAAACACAAACATAAGTGAAGTGATTGAATGACTGAATAAATACATAAATGAGAGAATGACTAGAAAGGAAAGTTGTAAGGCCTTAAGGCCTTCCCGCATTTGAAAACCTAGAAGAGGAAACTCAGATTTGCAAAATTTAGACATCCAGGTAGTAATTCCTTTCCTATTAAATAAAAAGTTTTTCAAGGACCAGGGATTTAGTTCAGTGGTTCTGGCGCCTGCCACGCAAGCACAAGGTCCTGAGTTCGATCCCCGGTACCAAACAAAAGTCTTTCAAAAGGAATCAGAACACAGGAAGTAGTGACTCAGAGGGAACCACACCCCACAGTGCACTCCCTGAGACAGCGTTGGTTTAGGAGTCCCAGGAGGAGTCCTAGGAGGTGCTTCCCTCGAGGGGAGCGGGGGCGCTGGACTCTACCTCCATCAGCTGCTTGAGGGTGTCATTACAGGCACCCAGCTTGGTCATTGCAAAAGCTGTGGAGATACTCAAGGGCGACAGGAAGATGTTGTCATTGTCGTTCTTAGAGTCTGCCAGGTGCTGGTAGAAAGTGGTGGCAAAGCGGGAATTGGCCTTGGATAGTTCCCAGACCCGGCGGTTGGTGGCCTCAGGGATCTTCTTCTCTGAGGCCTCATCCTCAGTTGCTTTCTTCTCTGGGAAGCGATAAATGCACATGGGATTCACAGGGATGTCCCTCGGCTTCGCCACGCAGATGTCCTCCACAGGGTTCCCTTGACAGGCCACACTGCCCCAGAGGCCAATGAGCAGCACGGAGAGAAGAGAAACCTTCCTACAGGGGACAGAACACTGGGGTAAGTGACACCAAAGGCCCTGGTCTCTCAGGAAAGCACAAGAGGGCAGCCCAGCTGCTGAGGGCCGAGGGCCAAGCCTTGGAACCAAGCACAAGAACCCAGGACAAGGCTAGGCCTGGACTTCTTGCCAGAGGTTAGCCCCGCTTTGCCTGGACAGTCTTGCTGGGCTTGCAACTGAGTGCTGTTTGTTAGCATGCTCAAGATTACTGCGCTTGGGCTGAGGATTTAGCTCAATGGCATTACGTGCCTGCCTCAAAAGCACAAGGTCCTGAGTTCGATCCCCTGTACCACACACACACAAAAAAGATTACTGCATTCAAGGCCCCATGCTAGGAGAGATAAAGAATGTACAGCTTCTAGTTGGTGAGGGGGAGCTATCTGGACAGGAGAGAACCTTAGTGCCCAGTGAAGTTAGGGCAGCAAGGGGAGCCAGGCAGAAGCTGTTTAGGGAAACCCTCACAGATGGTTGGAGTTCAACCTGGACCTTGAAGGCTGGGAAGGATTTTGAACAAGGGTAAGAACGAATGCATGAAGCAGACATCTATGTGCGGAAGACCCCCAGACTGCTAGCTCCAGCCCTAACCTTCCACAGAGCTCCAGACTCTGCTGGACAATTCCACCAGAAGTCCCACACTGTGACCCGGTCCAGGTCCCTCCTGCCTTTCCTCCTGTGGCCTTCAGCTCAATGACCAGGACCTGCATTTCCCCTGACATCCAGTCCAGAAACCTGGGAGTCACTCTGGGTTCCTCCCTCTGCCCCCCCTCATTCAGTCAGACTTCAGGTACAATCCCTTGCCCTCTCACCAGCTACTTCCACTGCCTTAATTCAGTCCCTTGTCCTTTTATGTTGCCTGAAATGTGTAATAGCTTCCAACAAGGGGTCATTAAATGTAAATGAAGGTAATCACTTTTTAGAAAATGTGACAGGGAAGCAGGTGTGCTGGCACAGGCCTGTAGTCCCAATGCTCTGGTAGGTGAAGGAGAGAGAGAATGAATCGTGGTGTCCACCACTCATCCCAGTTGTCTTCTGTTTCCTGCACATTTGGAACCATGAATGGAAGTGAGAGGAAGGCGCTGGAGCTCTGTTAAGCACAAGAAGAGCCATGATGATGGATCCACCACCTCACTTCCAGCCCCGTGTCAACCTAGATCAAGAGAGAAATGTGCGTGGTCTTGGGGCAAGGAGGGAGTCTTCCCGATAAAAGGGAACACGGCTCTGATATTTAATGGAAGCTCACTGGGCAGGGGGCGACCCAGTGAAAGGAGGAATAAAAAGGGAGTTAGGAGGTCCTTGTGGATTCCATTCGCCCACTTTTCCATCTGTGGCAGGCTCCTCCAGTGTCCTCTAGATTGCCAAGAGTGCTAGCCATCAGTGTGGCACCTTCACCCAAAGGAAGATGTCCCCAGTTCCTTGGGCTAAGAACCCAAGGTGTGGTTTAGGGAAAGACCTTACCCCAAGAGGGGTGTGGGAGGGAGGCACTCAGAATGACGTCTTCCAAACAGCTTTATTACTATAGCTACCAGGGAGAGGACCTGGTCTCCTCAAAGGTGTCGGAGGTCATCCTCGTGAGTTCTTTAAAGGTCAGAGAAGCCAGCAAGAGCATGTGAAGGGAAAGTTCACCCCCTTACCTTCTCCCCAAAGCACTGGAATACATGGTCGCTAATCTTCCACGGGGCTGGGCAGGTGGAGGTAGTGTGGTCTGAGGCAATCCCTCTGAAACTGGTTCCTTTCTCTAAATCAGACTGAGGTTCCAGAGGCCGGAGTGGGGGATGGAGCTGGTCAGGAGGGTAGGGCTGAGGTCAAAGGCTGATGACCACTTCCCAGGGTTAAGCAAAGTGTAGAGCCCCGTGTTACTCAATGAGTAGAGAAGTTAAAGTTCAGTCAGGCCTTGGGAAAGCATGGCCCACCTCTCTTATCCACAGTCCGTCATTCTCCTCTTCACTTTACAGAAAAGGAAAAAGAGAACATGTGATGAGCTCAAACTTGCTTAGGAAATAACTGACTTAGGAGAATATTTAGGACTTTCCGCCCCCCTGGTTAATCCCATCAGGAAGTAGAAATACTGTAGGTGAATATAAGTAGACAAGTTAAATGTATAGAAACTTCTATACCTTCTAGCTCTTCAGTTCAATCCCCTCTCACCCCACCCCCCATAGTTTTCTTTATGGAGAGAGAGAGAGAGAGATAAAGACAGAGACAGACAGAGAGACAGACTATGAGACTACTATTTACTCAGGGGGAAGGAGGAACAAGCTGCTACCTTCAGGATTCTGGGAGCTGAGGTGTCCCAGGCCCAGACCTAGGTACACCACAGTGGTCACAACTATGGCTCACAAATGGACCATTCCCCTTTCATCCAGGAAGTGTCGGGAGGCGACACAAGAGCAGAGTTCGTGCCAAGGGAACGCTAAGGGAAAGGAGCTGGCTGGGAAATACTTAGCCGATTCTACTGGGGGATTAGGAGATGGAGTATGGGGCAGGTGAAAAACATACATGCAACTGCTTATTTATTTATGTGCTAGGAATCAAACCCAGGGAGGGCCTTGTAAATGTTAGGCCAGTGCTTACTACTGAGGTATATCCCAAACACTTCAGTGTTCACAGGATACATATGCCATCTTCTGTATGACTAAGGATTCAGAAGTTGTTACTGCAACTGTCAGAATTTTAGAGTTCTTTACTCACTAGTAGGAAATCCTCTGGACTGACCCACGTCTAAGTTCTTGGTGGTTCAGTGGGATACTGCAAGGACCCCCGTGTGCAGTGTGAACAAGCTCCAAGAATTGTTCCAAAGGATCCCAGAATGCTCAGAGGCTCGTGGGCACCCTTACTGAAAGGCAGTAAGTGGAGCCTGATGTGGTGGGACACACTTGTAATCACAGCACTCAGGAGGCTGAGGCAGGAGGATTGCAGGGAACTCAAGACCAGCCTGTACTACACAGCAAGAGCTTGTCTCAAAATACAAACAAAACAAAACAAAAACACAAGAGCATGATAGTGAGGGGTGAGGTGGAAAAGTATGGCAATAATGAAACAGAAGATTAGGGCATGGCAAAGCTGGCAGGGATGTAGGCCTGACCTGTTAATTACAAGATCCCAGAACACATGAGAACAGTTCCCAAAGCCATGCACACGGACTTCTCAGGAGAACTCGAGCAGGTTCTCGATAGGATGGCCTAAATCTGATGTCAGCTGGAGGCGTGGGATCCCAGCACTGCCTCTCAGGGCCCGGATGTAGTCCTTTCAGTTTCCTCAAGATTTGGACAACAAATAAGGACACACAAGGAGCCCCTATCAGGACTTTCCTCACGTAGCCCACCCAGCTTCCTCCAGAGTGTCCTTTTATCTTGCTTTTTTCTCTTTTATTTGGCCCAAGCTCACTTTGCACAGCCAGTTTCTCCCCCACTCTATACTTTCTCATTAAACTTGGCCACTGCTTTTTGCTCGTTTTGTGCAGTTCTTTGCTTGAGATGAGAAGAACCTGGAATCCAACTCCAGAGGGAGAGGCGGGGTAAGGTTCAGTTGGCGAGCCACTTTTAGAAGGAGCTACCCAATAACCTAAAGACTTGTCAACATCCAGAGCTTTGCTTATGCTAGGTAAAGGCTGCCACTAAGCTACAGCTCTGCCTGTCTTCCCTTTTTTTTTTTGGTACTGGGGATCGAACTCAGGACCTTGCACTTGTAAGGCAGGCGCGGTGCCACTGAGCTACATCCCTGGCTGTGTTTTCCCTTTCTGAACAAGCCAGGTATCACCTTGACTTGATGAGCAACGAGGCCATCGGTGATGTGTGACAGCAGCTTGGGAGAGGGGTCCCAGGGCAAGGTGAAGGCAATGGCAGCATCAGAGGAACCACAGCCAGGAGTGCACGCCTGTGATCCCAGCGCTCTGGGAGGCTAAGGCAGGAAGGTCGAAAGTTTGAACCCAGCCCAGGCAATTTAGGGATTTAGTGAGAATCTAAAGATCTAAAGATTGAAAAAAGGGCCAGCGATATAGCTCAGTGCAAAGGCCCTGGGCTCGATCCCCAGTGCAGCAAAGAGGAACTGCAGGCTGAGCTCCCAGCTGGTGACGATGAAAGAAGCCCACTCCAGTATCTGCAGATGCAGGAGAGTGTGTAGGGGCCCTGCCTGGTCAACTAATCTCTGTTGGCTGTGTAGCATCCCATTGTCTATCATTTGAGCGTTACTCTCCTGTTAGATATTAGCTTAGGTCAAATCTAAACATCTCAGGATGGTAATGCTAGGTTCCATTTTAAAGCACTGTATTCCAGGATCTACTCTTGAGTGCTTTAGACGCCATCTTACAAGTCTCTCATCAGCTCTGCCAGGAAGATATCACTGTCCCAGCTAGAAGAGAAAGGCGATTTTACACTGTTTAAGTACTTGCCCCAAATCACAGCATAAGCAGAGTGAGATTGAAAGGCCTGTGTAGCCTTCTCACGGCCGTGTCCCCACATGAGAGCTATGAAGGAAACACCCACGGCTTCCCAGGCTAAAATCACAGGGCTGACTGTCCCTCCTTTCTATTTCTCTGCAGTGCTCAGGATGGAACCCAGGGGAGCTCTGCCCCTAAACTACATCCCTAGCCCTTTTTTAAATTTATATTGAGACAGGGTCTCACTATGTAGCCCAGGATGGACTGGAATTTGTGATCCTGCCTCAGCCTCCCCATTGGCTGGGTCTGCAGGCGTGTATAGCACGGCCGGCTAATTGTTGTTCTCCTCCGGATAGTCTCTTTCAGGTTTGATCGAAATTCTCTCAAAATCCAGGCCCCAGAAATGAAACCTGGGGCTACCACCTTTTTCTTTGGCTGTCCATATTTCTCCCCCCACCTCTCTGACAGGATCTTGATTTGTCATTCAGGCTGGCCTTGAACTATGTAGTCCAGGCAGGCCTCAAACTCTAGACAATCCTCCTGCCTCAGCCTCCTGTGTGCTGGGATTACAGGACTGTGCCACCACACCTAGCTGACTATCCAAATTTAGGACCGTATATATTTGTCTCTGACACACATTCCAGATGAGCACATCCTAGGCATTCAACATACTAGCTCTTCCTTTTTCAGTAGCTAAGTCTTCACGATTCACATGATGAAAATGAGGCTGGTCCTGGCCCTGAAATTCAGCCCAGGTAGCCCCTATTCTCATCTTAGGCCTAGCACTGTCTGTGTGTGTCTGAGACAGTTTTGCTACGTAGTTCAGGTCAGTCTTGAACTTACAGTGTACACCAGGCTGGCCTCGAACTCACAGTGATGCCCCTGCCTCAGCCTCCCAAATGCTGGGATCACAGGCATGTACCACCATGCCTGGCTCACCCTCTGGATTTTAGGATTTCCAAGATCAGCAGTTCCTTCCCCCAGCCCCACCCCCAACCTAGCAGTATCTTGCGCAGTCAGCGGGTCCCACCTGGTGCCCATCCTGGGTGTCCCTTCTCCCAGCCCCCAGGGTAAGACTGCGGTTGGGCCCAGTTCTTCCCATGGCTACTGAGTAACTCAAGAATGAACCCTTCCATGGAAATCTGGCAAGAAATCTAGCACAAAAAATCTCCACCTCCCCTGGGTTTCCAGATTATTAGGCAATGGTAGTATTTTCATTAAGGTGAGATAAAGTTAATAAAAATAAATCCTGCATCATTATTTGGCAGCTTTTAGCTGAGTCTCAAAATGTCACACTGGAATTTGCCCTAATCCTCACAAAAGTTAGAAAGTTCAGTTTGGTTTCAGGGAAATCAAAACAGCAAATATTTATTGAACATGCCCAGGGCACACACCGCTGCACCTTGAGTATCCCAGGTACTCAATAAACTTTTGTGTTTGTGTCTGAAGAAATTCATGTGCTGGCCTCCTGACGAGGCCCTCCACCCCCTTTTCTTCCTTCTTCCCGCCCCTCTCCCCAGAAGATGTCTTTGGACAGGGTGAGGTTTAGCTATTGTGCCAGTGTGAGTTTGCTATCCTGGGCTGGGGATTTAGCTCAGTGGTGCCGCCAACTGCCTTGCAAGCGAAAGGTTCTGAGTTGGATCCCTGGTACTAAAAAACAAACAAAAGCCATGTCCCCTCTTCTGGGACATTCGTTAGGAGCTACCTTGTGATGAAGGAATCAGGATGAGCAGGGCCATTCTCCGCCCATCACACTGGCTTCACCTGTCTCATCATTTGCCTGCACACTAGAGCTTCTCATCCTCCCTTTCATTTTGCAGTACTTGGAACTGAACTCTGGGCCTTCACATTGAGCTACATCCTCAGCCCTTTTTAATCTTTAGAGACAGAATCTCTCATTAAGTCACTGAGTTGCCCAGGTTGTGCTCCAACTTGTGATCCTCCTGCCTCAGCCTCCAGAGTGCTGGGATTACAGGCGTGTGCCACCCCTTCCAGGTACATCCCACTCTATCTCTGGGGCTGACTTTCTCTCCCCAACAGGCCACCTCTCCGTATTCCAAGCTGGCCTCAAATTCACCATCCTCCTGAGTGCTGAGTGTAGGCATGTGCCACCACACCCAGCTGCAGCACCTTGCTCTCTTCATTAACAGCATAGTTTATCTTTCCCCTCTGTTTTTGGTCTTTTTCAAGACTGGGTCTCTCTATGTAGTTCAGGGTGGCTTTCAACTATGTAGACAAGACTTGCCCCAAACTTGCTTCAATCCTCCTGCCTCAGCCTCCTGAGTGCTGGGATTACAGTTGTGCATTATCATGCTCAGCTACCTTTTTCCTTACTGTGAAGTTACAGTTGCCATCTCATTCCCTCAGGCTGCTGGCACCCCTGTGCCACTATTTTTCTGAGACAAAGTTGCCAAAGTTGGTTTTGAACTCCTGAGCTCGTGACCCCCACCCCCAACCCAAGCTCCCAAGGGCCTGGGACTGCAGAGGTGCCACTGTCTGACTAGGTCATGCTTCAAATGTGTCCCAAATGCAAAGTTAAGATTGTGGAGTGAGGTAAGCAAACCAATGGGCTATTAATCGAGAGAGACCTTACCTCCTTTGAACAGAAACTGGCCAAGAGCACTTGGAAGGCTGAGCAAGACAGAACTGGACAGGGTCAAAGCTCATTGCTTGTACATTAGCTCAGAAGTTGGAGGTGTTGAAAGAAAAATAAGGGATGGGGAAAGCAGAGTGCAGAGGCAAAGGTAGTGGGAGAAAGTTCCCTAGGAAGAAAAACACATTTAAATAGCTGCCTGGAGAAAGTCGCAACAGTTTGGACAAAATTAGAAGCAACAGAAAGAAACTTGCCAAAGCTAGGGCCAAGAGTTTGTTTTTTGGAGGAAGGATCTTGCTATGTAGCTCAGGTTGTCCCTGAACTTGCAATCTTCCTGCTTTAGCCTCCTGAGAACTAGGATTACAAGAGGCACATGCCATCACACCCAACTAAGAGTTGACACGTGCAGACCAGTGATGTGTCTGGTGCTTCCTGCCCATGTCTTCCAGAGCTGATTCTAGCAAAACTGGCTTAGTCCATCCAAGGAGTGAAGAGAGGAGGATCTGGGAATGAATGCAGCAAACCAATTCTCACCTCACTGGCACCTACGGTTGGCTTGAGGCCCTTCCCAAATGGTCTGTGCTGAAAACAGACTCTGCCTGGGGATAGGGTGTTCTAACTTCCCAGAAACTGTGGCTTCAAGGATGGTACCCTGGGTGGCTATGGCCAAGTCAGCTGACCAGGGAAAGGTGCTAGAGGCCAGATCCCTGCGCTGCACACGGGGGCAGGAGCAACAGGTCAGCCCACAGGTCTAGGTGTTTGCCAGGTTCCCTGACTTGTTGGAGCAGAGAAGGCCCAGCTGTAGAACAGGGCCAAGCACAGAGACTCAGGAAAAGTAGAGGGCACCTTTAGGTAACAACCTGAGCACTTTTGGATTTGGGGGGACAAGAGGGTGTTGATGAGCTAAGATAACTAAGTTTTCCTTGTAACTGAATATTTTCAAGTGGTTCGGTACCCTCCACATCATTTTCCTCCTTTAAACTGATGGTGCAGGAAGTGACATAGTGTTTGCTTAAGGAGACCAAGGAGAAGCAGCTGACTTGCTCACCAACCATGGACGTGCATGTTCAGTAGTGATCATCACGCTGTGACACCTGTCCTCACATTACCATGATTACCTAGTCTCAGGAGTCCCCACCCTTCGCATCCCACTGTCGGGGCACAGGGAGTAATCATTTCTTCTCAGTCTACTGCAACAAACCCCTAACTGGAGTTTTGGTCTCAGGCCCCATTCCACTTCAAACCAGAATAATCACATCACCCCCACCCCTCACTCCACTCCAGCTTCAGATCTTTTCTGGCTTTTAATTGCTAAGGGATTGCACAGTGACTCAAAATGGCATAGAAAGATTTCAACCTAACTTTTTTTTGAGAGGGTCTCTATATGTGGCTCAGGCTGGCGTCACACTTGCAGTGATCCTCCTGCCTCACTGGAGAGCGCTCAGTGCTGTCACTTAGGCTGTGCACCACCACTTTACCTTTCGCCTCCAGTGTCAATTATGTCTTCCACGTTACTCACGTCACTAAAATTAAGGTCTCTGATATGCAGAACATTATCTTCCTCAAAAATTACTTAACATATTGAACCTTGTTGTATATATTCTTTAACATTCACTGTATATTTCGTCACTCCTTGGTATTATGGATACTCAGTGCTTAATCACATTTACTTAATTGTGTAAGTCATTGTATATTTGTTAGCATCCAAGTCCCAACAAAGTCCACATATTACATTTGATTTTTGTATAAATTCCTTTAAAATCTATAAAAATCCTTTTCCTTCCTTTGATTGACTTTGGGTTTGTTTTTTGAGATAGGGTCTCACTTTGTAGTTCAGGCTGGCCCTCAACTCATTATGTAGAGGCAATCCTCCGGCCTCTGCCTCCCAAGTGCTGGGAATTATCAGTGTGAGCCACCACGCCCGGATGACTTTGGTTTCTACACGATAATAAACTTACATTTACCCTCCAACTGCCAGGAATGACTAATGGGCAGGGAATTCAAAACAATTAGAAGTCAGTAAGAGTAGAAAGACAAATATTTTGCCTTATGAAGGTACCCAAAGCAAGACCATTTTGCTTAGCATAAAGATGGTCTTGACTTTAAGAGAAGCCATAAAAAAGCAAGATGTTGGGTATTAGCTAAGAGTCTCATTGAGCACTGACCTGCACATCTCAGAACCACTACCTTTACTCTTCAATATATAATCACTCAACCACCAATGAAGGAATCTGGACTGTAGTGCATGAAACAGGGGACCAACTACAGTGATGTCTACACAAAATTGCTTATGACAGTATGTGTTTGCTTGTGCAATCAGCCACTTATTTTTCATCTAAAAAAAGTTCTATTAAAAGGTATAAAAATAATCCAGCAGGTTAGATGGCGCAGACTCAAAAAAGACTGTACATTCTTCCTCATTATCATTTAATATAAATGCTGACAGAAAGCAGATAAAGACCTTATAGATACTTTCATATATTGACAATCCAAACGGTTAATCACCTCCTTCTACTTCTTAAAATAAATCCTTTTATCTGCAACTCACAGGAGCCTTAAACACTGAGTAGGAGCAACAAGAGGCTGAGTCAGATTCCAAGGTAATAAAGAAAGGAAATAGCATTTTAACAAAATGTGGCATCTCTGATATAAACAACATGCAAACAAACAATACAAAATTGAAAAAGATGGCCTTAATCCTCTCAAACATCTGCAACAAGTGAAACAAAACTTACTCAGACCCAGAATTCTGTTCCCCTAAACACACTCCTAATTACTTTTTTTTCCCAGAACATCTGTTTTGAAAGCTGGTTAAAAACTGGAAATATTAAACATTTAAAAAGAGAAAAAATGGTCCATTTTAAATATGGTTTGCCTTATTCAAAAGAACTTTCAGAAGATAGTCTTCAAGTAAGATTTCACAGTTTGCCAGATACTAAGAAATTATTCACAGCATGGGAAATTCCAAACCAGTCTATTTGTCTTCACTTAAAAAAAAAAAAAAGAAACATCTGGAAAAAGTAAATTTCACAAAGCTCAGCAATTTAAAAATCAGTTGTCACAGGACCGGGGATTTAGCTCAGTGGTTTCACTGCCTGCTGTGCAAGCGCAAGGACCTGAGATTCCCGGTACCAAAAACAAAACAAAACAAAACAAAAAATCAGTTGTCACTTTAAGGCTCAATATTTATTTATTTCTGAAGAGGTGAGTAGAGACAGGTTAGAAAACAAGAGGGGGTTGTGGCAATGGAAAAAAGAAAAACAGGAATGCAAAAAAACCTTTAAAAATGGTATTTTGTCTGGCACTGATTTAGAAGAACAAGAGAATTTTCACTATTCAAAACTGTATTTTCCTAAGTCAAGTAAACCTGACTCAAATCTCTAGGGCTCCTTTATTAACCTAGATTATTTTTGTTTTGTTAAGTATACCTCTGCAGGGCACAATCACATACAATCAATACGACTGGCAAATTATACAAGCTCTATCCCAAGCAAATATGCATCAATGTTAAAAAACTATTTTAAAAAAAACGAAGTAAAAATAAAATCCACCCCAAAAAGGTGATAATGACTGCAGAATGTCTCGGGGAGACTGGTATGAGCCTAAACACCAGTTGACCATCACCAGGGAAAGGGTAGCAGGAGATGGCAAGAGGAAGAGACCACACACCAAGGGGAATCTCACAACTGGAAAATGCTTAAGTGGATGAAAGGTTTTATTCATTACCTTAATTCACTTTGTTTTTTGGTACTGGGAATCGAACTCAGGGCCCTGAGCTTGCTAGGCAGGCGCTGTGCCGCTGAGCTAAATCCCTGGCCCCCTTAATTCACTTTTGTCATTAGAAAAAGTCATAGAGTCATCATGTAAGATAATGAGGCCCCATTAGCAATGAATAAAATGAAAAAATTTTTTTTCAAGTTCCTTTCTTTCCCAGGTGGGAAGAAGATAAAGGATGAAAAGGGTGTGAAGCATCTGGAAAAAAATTGTTCTGAGGATAGTCTCTTAGTTGAGCAGAAAATGTAAAAAAGAGAACCAAAAGCTTTAAGTGTCTTTAAATCAGAAGAATATTTTATGAGATGGTTCAGAAATTATAAGAATGGCAACCAATCAACGAAGAGAGATTACATTAATAAATCAAGATTTTTAGAAATCAGGCAAAAAACAATACAGAAAAACCCTCTCCCCTAATCCAACCAATTACTCACCCAACATTTATTCCCATCTTTTTCTTGACTCTTTTATACTCTGACTGGGGTGGGGAACCACCTGACAGTTTCCAGTTATAAGATGACTCTGAGCGTATAACCTAAAGTGGATGCCAAAGACTTGTGAGCTCTGTTTAAGCAGCAGCAGCAGTGGCAGTGGCAGCAGCAGCAGCAGCAGCAGCAACAACAACACACACCAAGCAGAAAAACCATCTAGAAACAGAGGGACCTTAATATAATAAAGTAAGTCACCTTATCTAGTATATACCTTAGGATATTAAATGCCACAGGATTTTATTTTTTTTTAAATACACATTTTTGGATGTCATATTGTCTTGAGGTTTAAGTTCTCTATTTTGGGTTATTGTGCCTTAGTTTCCTGTGAAAATAAAGGTTATTTTAGGAATGTTTTGCTCAGGGACAAAGTTTAGGGGAAATTCAGTGTGTGGCTGAAAATTGAGAGGCTATGAAATCAAGGATTCCGGTGGTGAGCTAAGTGCTTTTATCATGGGAGGATTTCCAATGGCTCTTGTACCCACTCTGTTCAGTGCAGTACTGAACAAATATCCCACTCACTGGGATCACACATTAAAAAGGCATTTTACTTATTCCTGGTGCTGGGAGTTCCTTATTCTTAACATTATGGCTAGTATTACTTATCAACTAGAATCTATTATTTATAAAAACATCTTTAGCAACCAGAAATTAAAATCTTAAAATTCCAAATCTTGTTGTTCACTACAATTAATAGTAAGTGCACTATGACAAAAATAGCTGTTTTTTTGAAATGGCTCACAAAAGTTGACCTGAGAAATTAAAAAAATATTAATTGCAATTCTTCTACAACACTTGTTTATTCAATGCCTAAGATTGAGAATAAAATTCATTTTTAGTTTAGTAGCTCTAATTTTTATTTTCTGAAGGAGAGATCTGTTTGATAATACATGGTTTCAATTAAAATTTCAACGTATCTGGACTCTTTCAGGATAAAAATGTAAATAAACACTGCAGTTAATTTCTAGACAGGTTATTAATTTTGCCTAGCAAGTAACTGGGCTGTTTCTTTTCATGAAATATCATCATTACAGGTGGTTTTTAACAGATAGATTTTATATATGAAAGCTTTATTTAATCCTTTAAAGTAAGCAAAAAGAAAGTGAAAGATAATGAGACTTCTCCCTATCACCATTGTGTATATAAGTAACAGTAACTGAATCTTCTTTAGTGCAAAGAATCTAGTTTCTTTGACTCGTTATATAAACTGAATACACTCAACTATTTCTTCCTGGCTACATGGTTAAGATTATCCAGTCTCATCACCTAACCATACTCATATAGTATATCATCCTTTAGGCACAAGTGAAAAAACGTAAAAACACGAAAGATGCTATCACAACAATATAATCTCAAAAATTAAAAAAAAGAAAAGTGGAGGTGGGGACAGTTACTTACAATATTGTAAAAGATGACATTCATTAGAAAAACAAATGAATTTTCATCACTTTTTCATTTTATAAGGCCAACTATAACAGTTAACTTTAGATAAATCTAAACAGTACAATGAACTCACAGACACTAAAAGTTTTCACAATCAAAATGGCTACTACTTCCCCCCAAACCAAAACAGAGTAAAGCACAAGTCTTTGGCTCTCCTTTAAAGAAAACAGCAGGTTACCATTCTTAACCAGACCTTTGTTTGCCTACCAGTAGGGCAAATACCACATTTGTGCATCACTGAGTAATAACACCATTAGAAAAGGCAACTTCACAGAAGTTATTGGCTAAGCGAATTCATTTGAATGCTCTGTTTTGAGGCAGCAAACTGTCACTGTTACAGATTGGGAAGGGTAGTGGGTAAGTCAAGGGGGAAACTGTGGAATGCAAAAGGATTAGGGAAAAAAAGTTATTTATAGGAAAACTAAAATTAAATTTTGAGCTCCAAACTGAAGACCCATGGAAAGTCTGATGGAGCTGTATACTCAAAGTAGGAAATGAGAACATTACCAATTTTCTGATTTTAGGCAAAAGAATAAATACATGGGAAAAAAAATAGGAAAAGGGAAGGGAAATAAGATGGGAGAAAGGAATCACATTAATGTTGTACCAAATTTTTTATACATTTTAAGTAGCTGAATATTTGTAGTTGACATTCAGAATAGTGCTTATCATATGAGTAATATTACTACAAACCTATGTTATAATTAGAAAAGTAATAAAGAATAGATCTTTGGTCACTTTAGGCTCTTTATATTATCCAAGACAGGGCAGTTATTACACATTATCTTATGACAGTATCTAGAAATCAGTCCAAAGAACTACATGTAAGACAGAAAATAGTGTCTGGATGTCTTATTAACTCAGTTCTTCTACTCTTGCCTATGGACTTTTCAAAACAGAGTAAGCCAGAGTACTTATATTCCTCACTATAATAAAACCCCTGGCTTTGTTATCTAAATAAGAATGACCATAATGCTCATTACTCCTACCTAATCTTTTCAGAGGTGTTCATGTTCATATGAGATGTCCAAGTCTTATTCTGAATTCAGGAAAAAGCAAACAGTTTTATTAAGAAGATACTAATATTTAAATAAGAAATCATGGAATTCTATTACCTATCTAATTGGTTTCATGTCTTAATGTTTCTAAAGGCACTAATAAAATTTAAAAGCCAGAAGAAAAAAACCAATGTTTTGTGAATGTGGATTTAAAAAGCAGGTAAAGAGTCAATTAGTTATGCCTTAATTGGCTATTTATCCTTACTGGCTCCTCATAGTACAGAGTGTATCAGAGAAAAGTAAAAGGAAAAACTCAAAACCAACCAAACCAAATCCCAAAGTTTGGGGGTTTTATTGAATTCATGAACCTGCTGGTGGGTACTAGAAAAGCTGTAAGAATTTTTCATTAGGCATTAGGCAGAATGACCAATCTAAAATATAAAATAGCTGAATTAGACACAACAGAGGAGTACACCACTATTCCTAACCAGCCAGACTGTGTCTACAGTATGGGACTTTCAAAGGGTACAGCCAGAATTCAAACTACAATTTAAAAATTATGTTGCCCCAAATGAAATTAAAGAAAGACACTAGCATACTTGGAGGAATAAGAACAAAAATAACAGAATTTGAGTTATTAGGAGTCTCAATCAATACATATTCAAAATGTAACTATATTTTTTCTGAATCTCAACCAACCGAACATCCATAAATTATTTTCTAATTCCAGAATCAATCACTCTAACTTCCAAAGTAAACCAACAGCTTATAAAACTTAGAAATTATCTGACATATCCAAAGAAGAAATAAGATCTAACCAAACCTGCCTATGGAAGTTAACAGGCCAATTATTTTGTCTTTTATAGTTTGTTTATTTGTTTGTTTTTTGGTACTGGGGATCAAACTCAGGACCTTGCGCTTGCAAGGCAGGCACTGGAACCACTGAGCTAAATCCCCGGTCCTATGTCTTTTCTAGTTACACAGAGAAATGAAAACTCTTAAGACTCTGTCAGACACAACAGTAGTTTCTTTCCTTCTCCCAACAAAGTATTTAAAGTATAAATTAAGAGGGTTTAAGTTAAAAAAAAAAGCCAAAAAAGTAAATGTATGAATGTGAAAAAAAGAAAGGAAAATGTATGTTTCAACTGAGAAAAATGCCTCAATTTCGTTCAGTGCTTTTACCTCCCAATCAGTCATTTTATCGCAACAGCTGCGCTCATGCGAAGAAATCCGTAAAACATACCCAATATATATACAGATATAGCTATGTATATATGTATATATAATATATATAAATTTTTATTTAAATAAAAAAGAAAGCTCGAATCCCAAGCCAATATGTGTATATCAAATCCTTGACCAGCCAGGTCTGTAGGGCATAATCAAATTCAATGTGAAATAGTATATAAACACGGTGCCTTGACTGGGCAAATTAAATAATTGCTACTCAAAAGAGTGTTCTGTTTGGACTCTCCTACTGGTAGGCAACGGCAGGACTGTATTACCCTTCCCCCCCCCATTTGTTTCAGTTAATATGATGGGTACGGAGCTTAGACTGAGGTTGTTACGACCTCAGCAGGAGTTAAGGGTTAGGAATATAAGAAACAAGAAAAATATAAACGTTTGCTTTACCCAACCAAAGCAATGCAGTAACTTATTACATAACCAGTGCTTTCTGATTAGTAGTATAATCCAGAAAGGGAATTGAAAATATAAGGCAAATATAGGATGGAGAGAGAGAAAGAGTGACTATAAAAACAATCCCAGTAAACGTTTTATAGGGGTTAAGTATAGACTTGTGGCATCAGAATATGTGCAGCATAACCAAATAATAAAAACATTCTTCCTTACTCTTTTCAACATTCTCATGAAGAAACTTTTTTTTCATTTTTAGGTACTAGGGATTGAATCTAGGGGCTTTGTACTGAGTTCCATCTTCCAGCCCCTTCTTTAGTTTTTATTTTGAGACAGGGTCTCACTAAGTCCCTCAGGCTGGGCTCCAACTTGCAGTCCTTCTGCCTCAGCCTCCCAGAGTGCTGAGCTTACAGGTGGGTGCAACCACATCCTGTTATGAAGAAGCTTTGTTAATGCTAGAAAGCTAGTTCTATGAAAGCTGACTGCTAGGTTATTTACTACCTATTTATGCTAGTAATTCTAATGAACTATCCTTAAGACTCAGTTTGTATTTGCCAAATCTCTGAAAGCCAGGAGCTCCAGTATACAGGAATTTTATTTTATGCTTTTAGGTTTTGAAAGTGAAAACAAAAATACCCACTGAAATAATGTATTCCTACCTATTAATTTTTTTTCCTACCTATTAATTTTGAGTTCAAATCAAGTGTTAGTTTTTAAAACATGGTTAATTATCCTATGATTTCAGCAAGTTTAATTCAGAAAGCACAACTCCAAGTTTCCAATTATAAACATGAGTTCAACAGGCAATACACCAGCTCCATATTTCCAATGCTAGTAAGTTCCAGTACATTCCTAAAATAAACTTCATATAAATTTAATCAAACAATGTAAACAATGGATCCGTTCTTTGATTACATTAAGAAAATGCAGAGGATCCTTAACATGCAAATGAGGAACTCAAAGTTTCAATGTCATAAGGAAAACATAATCTATTCCTGAAGTCAGTGGTCCAGAAAGGAAATAATTCCACAGAACAGCTCTGAGAAAATTTAGTTTGCTGCACATTTTCTAATAACTTGGTCTACCACTGCCTCTACCACCACAGAAGTCTCAGAAATGCCAGTGCTTTTTTTCTGGTTTAGTTTATGTGGTGGTGAGAGTTAGGAAGGATTGGAGGTAAGGAATTATACACTGGGTATGTAATAATACCAAAGTACAAGAAAACCTACTTCATTAAGATCATACAATTAATCAAACAGAGTGTATATATAATATCTTCTTCTTTTTTAAAGCCCTGGATCCAAGGCGTCCAAAGTTATTAAAATAAAGTTCATTCACAGAACAAAAACAAATTTAATCTGAATTGCTTGCAGATACTGCTAATTTTCTTTTTCTTTAAATTAAAAAATGCATTAATGTGAACTATGTGCAGGGTTTGTTTTTAGTAGTGGTGTTTGTGCACATTGCCTTCGGTGCTTTTCCTGGATTTCTCTGACCGCTCTTAGAGAAAAAGTTTAGAAGTCATCTGTTCTTTTACCCCTGTGCCCCATAGCTGATTAGGAGCAGTAGATCAAAGCAGGACTCCTCATGTTTTAGGGAGCAGAACTGGGAGTAACTCTCGATCTCTGGGAGTCACTGTCATCCCCTCTGCCCTCGGGTTCCTCTGACAGGTTCAGAGAGCTGGTCTTGTTTGACAGGAGGCTGATATCCTCTTGTGCCAAGGATGATCCGTTCGGTACATCACTGTTAACATTTAAAAAAAAAAAAGAGAGAATTTTTGGCCAAATGTCTCCACACTTAAAAAGATAGGAAAGATGTTGATAACAGTTATTCTCTGGGTGTTGCAATTACACATGATTTTTAAATTTGTTTATTTCTAAAATTTTCAATTTCCTCCAACTTTTTATAAAATATTTAAAATAAGAGGAAGTACTGAGGATGTAGCTCAGTGGTACAGAAAGTGTGTATCAGGCCAGGGATTTAGCTCAGTGGTTCCACCGCCTGCCTTGAAAGCACAAGGTCCCGAGTTTGATCTCTGGTACCAAAAACAGTAACAACAGAAAGTGTGTATGAGGGCCCTGGACTCAATCCCAGCATGAAAAAATAAGTAGGGGTGTGTGTGCTCTGATTTTTTTTTTTAAAGATTTTAGTATTGTGTTTACATTGCGCATATATTGCTTTTATATGAGTGTATGTGTATGTGTATATATATACACACACACATATATACACACATATATTTTTTTGCAGTACCAGGGATCGAACTTAGCTCCTCAGGACCTTGCACTTTCGAAGCAGGTATGGAGCCACTGAGCTAAGTCCCCTCCCCCTTGTTTGATTTGTGGGTTGGGGGGGGTGGGTCGTGGTATGTTTTAATGTTTTCTTACAAAGATAGGCTTCTGTCTGCTGTGAACTGCTTTGGGTGTGGAAAATGGTCCCTAGTGGATGGATGGGTGTCGTATTTCCCAGGTTATGGTGTGTGATCACTGCACTCATCACTCAGCAGATCCTCTCCTACTGACTTAACCACGCGGGATCATTTAACTACTGTTTTCTTTTCTGTTTGTTGGCTTACTTTTTCAAGGATTTCTATTAAACGTTGTTCTGAGACCTTTCCACTTAGCTGTCCATACTTCGCCATCTGTATAAGGTAATTCTCTAGTGCTTTCGTTTTTTTCAGGCTTTACAAGTGCTAAGTTACTTAACCTGGCCCGGGCTGATTGGTCCAGAACTTGTGCTAAGATACTGTTTCTCATTTCTGCTTCCCTGTGCTTTGCTTCCTGTTGTGCTGCATCAATAGGATCCTTGTGTTTCGCCTGCAGCTCAGCCAGCCTCTGGTTCCTCAGCACCTCCAGCTCCTCGTCCGCCATGGCGCGACCGTCGCGGAGTAGCAGCAGTAGCCACTGTCCGGCCCACCCGGAACGATCTCATGCCCTCATTTGATTTTTTGAGACAGCGTCTCCTTATGTAGTTTAGTGGCCTTGAACTCACAGCAATTCTCTTGGCTTAGCCTCCCAAATGCTGGGATTACAGCCATGTGTCACCATGTCCAGCTACTATTTTGGGGTTTTTTTTGGTACTGGGGATTTAGCTCAGTGGTTTCACCACCTGCTGTGCAAATGCAAGGAAGCAAGTTTGATCCCAAGTACCAAAAAAAAAAAAAACCTCTCGGGTCCTTGCACTTGCGCAGCAGGTGGCAGAACCACTGAGCTAACTTCCCCCAGCTACTGTTATAATTTAAAAACAAAAGACTAGGGCCCAGGATTTAGCTCAGTGGTTTCATCGCCTGCTGTGCAAGCAGAAGGACCTGAGTTTGAGCCCCAGTACCAAAAACAAAAACCAAAAAAAGTAAGGCTGTATTTAAAATTTAAAAAAAAAAGAAGAAAATATAACAAGAAAATTTTGTTAGAAATCAACAGACAATTCAACCCCAGGACTATTTTGAGATAATGTTTTTGTGTGTGTGTGTGTGTGTGTGTGTGTGTGTGTGTGTGTGTACATGCTCAGATCACACACATCAGTTGTGCTAATTTTTATTTTGAGACAGGGTCTTGCCAAGTTGGTATGGCTTCCGAGGCTGGCCTCGAACTTGCATTCCACCTACCTCAGCCTTCTAAGCAGCTTGGGATTATAGGCATGAGCCACCATACCAGCAAGATATGGTTTTTGGTTTTTTTTGGTACTGGGGATTGAACTCGGGTCCTTGCGCTTGCGCAGCAGGCGGCGAAACCACTGAGCTAAATCCCCGGCCCAGTTTTAAGTTTATTAGTACACGTGTGTAGTATACAATTGCTTACATTCCTTGTATAGAGTTGGTACCTGTATACGACACACCTCAATTTCTTTGCTTCATCCCTGTCCCTCTCCTCCCTATCTCCATCTCTTGATCCCCTTCCCCCCCGAGAATGATCTATCTCCTTACTTCCTTTCTTTTTTTTGGTACCAGGGATCAAACTCGGGTCCTTGCACTTGCGCAGCAGGCAGCAAAACCACTGAGCTAAATCCCCAGCCCTGCTTACTTCCTATTTTATTTTGCTCTTTATTTACCTGAATGTCAATGTAAGGTCCTCAGCTGGAACCTTGTTTTGTGGTTCTGGTTGTCCATTTTCTGGTTGCTTACTTGTATTCAATTTGCTTTTCATGTCCAGAGAACACTGATTCTCCTTTGAAAAGAGAAGAAAATAAAGTCAGTTATCTTGTAATTAATGGCGGTAATGGGACAGACCAAATAAATAATATAAACAAACTTGATCCAGAAATCAGTTTTATAGCAAAACCAAAGAAACAAGGAGACCAGAAGAGAGACATACAAGAGTATAACCACCTGTTCACTATCTAAACTGGATAATAGGGAGAGAAGGCCTCAAACTAACACAGGAGAAAAATGTGTAATGTATGAAATTCATAAAAATAGGTCATCAATAATTGTTTTGTATTTTATAACAACTTCCTCTTTAAAATTAATTTTGTTGATACTGTTTTTTTGGAGACAGGGTCTTGCTTTGTAGTTCAGGCTGGCCCTGAACTCACTATGTAGCCCAGGCTGGCCTCCAACTGTCAGCGATCCTCACGCCTCTGTCTGCCGAGACTGTTGGGACTACAGGTGTGAGCCACACCTGGCAAGTTGATCCTTCCCTCTTGCAGCAGCTAACTTAGAGGTCCCACAAGATCTACTTTAATCCCATCCAAGCGCAACACCTCCAATGACTCAAGCACTTTTCCCATAGGCTCCACTTGCAAAAGGTCCCACTACCCCTCACCGTCACTAGCCTGGGAATCAAGTTTCTAACACAACAACCCTAGGAAGAACCATCACCTCCAAGCTATGGCAACACTTAGTTCTCCACCAAAGGCAGAACTACTTACTTTCTACTGTGTAGTTTGCTTGGCTTTAATCTAGTGTATTTACAGATACAGTACAAATCTCAGATTCTGCAAAGTGCATTGGTCATAATATCAACCAAGGAGTGGAGTAACAGGATCAGGCCAGCACAATGGTACCGGGGATCGAACTCGGGTCCTTGGCTTGTGAGGCAGGCGGCAGAACCACTGAGCTAAATCCTCGGCCCTGGAAGAGGGTTTTGAGGTCTCTCCAGCATCAGCCTTGCTACAACTTTCAAGAATTTATTTAGTATAAGCTTTTTAAATTATTACAAAACTGACTTGTCTTTAAGGACATTGCCATTTACTTATGAAGAAAAATAATTTCATTAATATGTGGTAGAATAAAATAAGAGTTTCAGCTAATAATTATTATTGTTCAAATGATATAGGAATCTATCAATCTGAAAAGGCTGTATACAAGAGATACCATGCAAAATGGGCCTTGGAAGCAGGTAACATTTCAATAAGCAAATATGAATAAATGCAAGGTTTCAGGGAGGCAGTTCATCATGTGCAATGAAGTGGAGGCAGAAAAGTGTGATTTTACTTCAATGTCATCAATAATTTAAAGGCTGCAAAAACTAGAATGTTATTTGGTAAATATATCTTTACATAATATGATAATATTGGAAAAATAGTAAAAAAATCCTACCTGCTTCCTTAATCAGTAGAAACAGAAATTAAAATTTCCAATTAACTACCCTGTGTTCCTTAAAAGCTAGCCAAGAATTGTACAAAAGAAATGCACTCAAACCAAACAGGAATGAAAGGAACAATATAACAGGGAGGGAGCTTATCTTCATGGGGATTTTTTTCTTTGTTTTGAGACAGGCTCTTGTTATGCGGTTCAGGCTGGACTTGAACTCACTCTGTAGCCCAGGCTGGCCAAGAACTCACAGTGAATCTCCTGCCTCAGCCTCCTGAGTGCTGGGATCACAAATGTCACCACACCTGGTAAGAACTATTTTAAAACTTAATCACTCATCAGAGAGCATGGGATGCACTCCAGATGATTTCCAGAACTCTAGAACAGCAACATAACCCTAGATTTTATTTCACCTTCCCCGTTATCCCAATAACACTCACCATACTGAGCTCCCGAGTTCTCTTCCCAATTTCCCTTTCCACCTGGTGCAGTTCCAAGCTCAGCTGCTCACTGGAGATCATTGCAGGCCACTTTGGAGGTGGAGGTGGGGGCTGCGGCTGGCCTGCCAGGGCATTTGGCTCCCTCTGCAACACCAGCCTGTTACTAACAGCCTAGTACATAAAGCCAAGCACATACACAACTCAACACACATCGCACCATGAAGAAAATAACCAGGCAGGCCCATCTCAGACTACAGCTACTTAAGCTTATCATCCAAGTATTCACAATAAAAATAACACGGCTATAAGGCACAATCTGAGTATCATTTGAATAAAAAAGAACAAAATATAGGTGATTTAAATTTGATGAATAGTTATTCCATCTTAGATATACATTGCTGTTTTTATTTTCTTACTTGAAAAAGTCAATAATAAATGGGTATCTTTCTCCTTTTTTTGTTAATTTTCTCTGAAGTAAATCCTGTAACTTATTTTAATAAAACTTCAATAATGGCAAGGATTTTTAATATAGTTAGAGGAGTATGTGGCAAGCTTCCAAATAATACTGACTTTTTTTTTTTTGTAGTGCTGATACTCTTCTCTACTGTAGTGCTGTAATCTCAGCACTCAGGAGGCTGAGGCAAGAAGACTGCTGCCAGTTTGAGGCCAGCCTGGGGTATATAGTGAATTTAAGGCCAGCCTGAATATGTAGCGAGACTGTCTCAAAAATAAAACAAAACCAAAAGCACGCAACTTCAATTAAAATAAAAAGCCTTAATTCAAGGATAAGGAGTAATGCACTTTATGGGAATGAAGAGCTAAACATTTAAAAAGTTAATGAACTAAAGACCAACATAAGCAAGTATAACATTGTTTTAATTTTTTTTTTTTTTCTTCTGAGTCAGGGTCTTGCTCTGTACACAATGGCCTCAAACTTACTAAGTAGCTCAGGCTGGCCTTGAACAAATGGCAATCCTTCCTGCCTCAGCTTCCCTTGTGACCACTATACCTGGCTCAGCATTCTGTTATGATAGAAAGTTATATCCTTTAATCAAAAAGGGGGACAGTACCACCTACCTGACATATAGTCAGGGACACAGTATGGATCAAATAAGATATGTGACAATAACTTATAAACTGCTAAGAACGATATAAATGGAAAGTATTATTATTCTTATAAAGGGGCTTTTTAAAAACAAAGTCAAAGTTCATGATCACCTTTTTTATTTTGAATTTTACTAAGTTACTAAAGTTCCCCAGACTAGGCTTGAACTTGCAATCTTCTTGCCTGAGCCTCCCAGAGTGCTTGGATTACCGGTGTGTCACTATGCCTGGCTAAACCAAAATTCTAAGTGTCAACAAGGAAACAAGAAAAAGGAAAAACAAAAACAAAAGCCAACCCTGCAAAAGCTAAAAGGATCTGTTGATAAAGACTGTTTACTGAGCTGAGTGTGACACACACCTGTGATCCCAGTGCTTGGGAGGCTGAGGCAGGAGGAATGCCTTGAGATCAAGGCCAGACAGGGTTATATAGTGAACTCAAGGCCAGCCTAGACTACAAAAGGAGACTGTCTCAAAAAAAAAAAGAGAGACTGTTTATTATAATCTTAAATATGCCATCAGTAAATATAAAATAAAATTTTTTTTGATACCAGGGATTGAACTCAGAATCTTGGGCTTGCAAGGCAGGTGGCAGCACCACTGAGCTAACTCCCCAGCCCTATAAAATAAACTTCTAATGAGAATTTTTTTCTACCCTTAGGTGGTAGTAATTCTGTTTCCTATTATCCCAGAACAGAACCTAGTACTGAATTATTTGAAGAATGGATATGGACATTTATATTAACTTTTTTTTTTTTTGAGATAGGGTCTCACTACGTAGTTCAGGCTGGCCCTGATCTCATGGTGCTCCCCTCCTGCCCCGGCCTCCCCAGTGATAGGACTGCAGGTATGTACTACCATGCCGGGCCTATATTGACTCTTTTTTCTTTTTTACTTTCTTTTTTTTTGGAGACAGGGTCTCATTATATAGTTCGGCTGGCTTTGAACACCCAGTATTCCTCCTCTGTCTCAGCCTCCTGAGTTAAATTCCTTTGTCTAAAATTTCTGAGAACACTTAAAAAATTGGAATAAAGAAGTTATCTATTGGCCAGTACCTCCAATCCCCGTAGCTGGGTCTGTTGGCTAATCTGATGGTTCAGTTGTTGCAGTTCTAGTCGGAGCTGTTCTCTCTCAGCAGACGGAAGGGGCTTTCCATGACTGGCCACTTCTGCCATGGAAATTCTCTCCCTTTCATAAGAAAGACAGCATGAAACAAAATTTGAAGTTTTAATTTTGTGGAAATATTACTGATCAGAAAAACAAAGTAAGGGGCCAGGGATTTAGCTCAGTGGTTCTGCCGCCTGTCTCGCAAGCGAGGACTTGAGTTCAATCCCTGGTACCAAAAAAAAAGAAGAAAAACAAAGTAAGAAAAGCTGAATAATTTTTTTTTTTTTTTGGTACCAGGGATCAAACTCAGGACCTTGGCACTTGTGAGGCAGGTGCTGGAACCACTGAGCTAAATCCCCGGCCCAGAAGCTGAATAATTTTAAAGATCTGTACAAGAAAAGAATGACTCATACCTCTCACTGAAGTGTCCCTGAGAAGGTATACTTTGATGGGGTGAATATGGAGAGCCTCCCCAGCCACCATGGGCTCCATATGGACTATAATCTGTAAGACAATGAGTTACTGTGGTGTGATGCAATTCAGGTTTGATTCTTCTTCTAAGGTACTCATCATCAGAAAGGTATAGCCATATTGCATACACAGCTACCCAGAAAAATATCTACCAAAATGGTAGTGCTGATATTTGTTCCCTGCTAAATGTTTTTATATTTTTAATGAGAATACATTATCTTAATAAATTAATGAAGCTATTTAAAGAAAAAACCATAGGGAATCTTAATATACAGACATTTAATTTTTGTTTACTCCCTTAAATTCCCTGGGTTATAATTACCTTTTTTACAGGGATAATTCTACAGAACACCTTGACAATTACTGCCTTGGAAGATTACTGAAGCACAAACAGTAAAGATCATGAATATGATCCCTCTAGATCAGCTTTCCTCTGAGTCTTACCTGAAATGTTAACAGATTTTGTAGGAGCTCCCTGAGGTGCCATAGCCTGCACTGGGCCAGCACCCTGATATATCGTTTTGGACGTTCGAGAGATGGCACCAAACCTAGATACTGTTGGTCGGTCTCCAAATGGGATAAGGTCATCATCACTGGTTTCTACTGCTCTTCTTTGAAGATCCAATCGCTGGTCTCGCATTCCTTTAGTGTCTACATTCTGATAAAAAAGCAAAATTAGACATCTACCCCATCCTTGGGCGTAGAACATAATTTCCTCTAGCTCTGTAATAACTGAGTAATAGTATAATGCTCTTATTAGCAAGAACAAGATCACTAGTAACCTTTGTCATGTAAAACATTTAAAATTTTTTTTAAATTTTTAAACCTTTGATACTCATAGTAAGAAATATATTTTACGCAACCACAAGGACCTGAGTTCGATCCCCAGTACCAAAAGAAATATATTTTACATGACTGAACGAGTTTATCTCTATGTATATTTTATTCTCTTTCTCTTTCTCTCTCTCTTTGATTCCCAGTTAATGTGTATGTACATTAATTTTGAAAAGCAATGGATTAGACTTCTTTTACTTATTTAGATTTTCAAACATTCAAAAGCTTTCCTTTTATACTAATTTAAGGGACTTAGCTTTATTTTGCTAATACTTATGTTATTTTAATGTAGTAACTGAAAGCAAAGTATAAAGCAAGAGTTCCTGCCTCACTCCATGTCTATGTCATTCTAGTGAAAGGGTTATCTGTCTTAACAGCAATATTTCCTCAATCACACCACGGAAAAATCAAAGTAAAGGGTCTTCTGTTGTTTTCTTCTTTTCCAGTGCTGGGGATTGAACCCAAGACCTCACATATTCTAGGCAAGTATGCTGCCGCCACCGAGCTATACCCCCAGCCTACAAAAGGCCTGTTATTCTTTTCTTGCTTTCCTGTTTTGTCTTGTTTTCCTTCCTTTTTTTTTTTTTTTTTTTTGGTGCCAGGGATCTAACTCAGTTTCCTGTTATTTTTGGAGGGCTGTCATCTACTTGTATTTTATAGTATAGATATCACTTCCTTCATTTATAGTGGCATCAGCATCCAAATCTTTTCTACTACCAAGAAACAGTCTTCTTTTAACATGATATTAACCTAGGGAATATTTTCGCAGTTAAAAAGGGCAAGCAAGTTAAGAATAATATCAAGGCATCCATTTCAACCCAGCAATACCACTTTTAAACCTAACTTTTTTTTTGGTTTTTTTGAGACAGGGTCTTGCCAGGTAGTTCAGACTCGCCTTCAACTCACTATGTAGCCTATGCTGGCCTCAAACTCATGGTGATCCTCCTGTCTCAGCCTACCTAGTGCTGGGATTACAGGACTGCATCACACCTGGCGAGTATTAACTTTCATTATACCACTGTACAGAATAGTGAAAAGTCAAGGGTCGGGGATTTAGCTCAGTGGCACCGTGCCTGCTTGGCAAGCACAAAGTCCTGAGTTCGATCTCCAGTACCAAAAGAACACACACACAAAAAGTGAAAGGTCACAAATAGCTTCCAGGTTCATCAACACAAAATGAGTAACAATTTATTTCTAAAGTGGGCTGGGGATTTAGTTCAGTGGTTCCAGCACCTGCCTTGCAAGCACAAGGTCCAGAGTTCGATCCCCGGTACCAAAACAAAAATCCAATAATTTATTTCTGTCACATATTTTGCTGAATGATATGAGTTATGCAATGTCTGATAAAAGCAGTTAAAAATGAATGAACTTCAGGTATAGGTATAAATATGGACACATCTCAAAAAGCACTAAAATGCAAGTTGAGGGCCGGGGATTTAGCTCAGTGGTTCTGCCGCCTGCCTCAAAAGTTTGATCCCCAGCACCAAAAAAAAGAAAGAAAAAAGCAAGTTAAAGTATATAATTTATATGAGGTCTATAAATATGGAAAACAATATTTTTTTTAGAACAGCATAAGCCAGGCTTGGTGGCAAAGCTCTATAGTCCTAGCTACTAGGTAGGCTGAGGCAGTAGGATCACTGGAGCCCAGTGGGGGGCAACAGTGTCAGGCCCCAACTCAAAAAAAAAAACTCTGTTAAAATGGTAAGTAAGCATTAAACTCATGATAGAGGTTATGACTGGCAGGGGAAGGGAGAGGAAGAACAATGAGATGAGGAAAGTATTTACAGCAGGATTTACTTCTGGAAAGTTTCAATTCTTTGAAAAATAAAAAGTATTTTTAAGGTTGGCTTACTGATACATTGGTGTTACACTACTTTTCATTATAAAAACAAAAACAATCCAGGTATATTTCAATGTCTCATTGCTCACTTGAAGCTAAGCAGCTACAATTCTGACTCATGTAATACTTTTTTTTTGGTACCAGGGATCAAACTCGGGTCCTTGCGCTTGTGCAGCAGGTGGCAAAACCACTGAGCTAAATCGCCACTTTTAAAACTCTTTTTTGGTACCAGGGATCGAACTTGGGACCTTGTGCTTTCGAGGCAGGCACCGGAACCACTGAGCTAAATTCCTGGCCCATCACATAATACTCTTCTTATTCGCTAGATTCAAGCTCAGTTAAAGTTCGGATTTGTGAAAAAGTTCTAATTTATTTGTTGAAGAAATTCAAGATCCTGATTAATTTCCTAAATAGTTAAACCTGGACTCTAACCAACTGTTGGGAAATTGCTATCTTCATTGTAATCTAATAAATGTTGTTCTTTGTCTAGATAAGTAACAGAAGGTTGTTCTTTATACCTGAACAAAATAAAAAATCCCATATAGTTGTAATATAGTTAAACTGCAGAATATGATTTGAAACTTTTAAAGCTCAATTATTTGCACCTAAACTAAAGTAGCCAAAAATTTATTTGGTTTGTCTTGATTTGCACTAATTCTGGCTTAGTCATTAACACATACCATCATTTCCACACTCCCTGCTGCCACAACATCTTTGGGTTTTGCATCTTTGGTTCCAATGTAGGAGCCAATGGTGTCACATGACCAAGGAGAGTATTGGCTATAATCATTTGTTTTGTATTTCCCAGCTACCTTCAATTCGTCATCCAAAAACTAAAGAAAGAAAGAAACCCAGAAAGACAAAATATGAGGGTCTAGGAATTACACAACAGAGACAACAAGGAATTTCTTAAAACAATAAGCTATAGCAATAAAATGACAGTTATTTGATTTTTAAGTGTCAGGAATAGATAAATACAAGCAAACAATGATGTCTTTAGACTTAATATTTTGTTATTAGCAGGTCAAAAAGAAGTACCTCAATATTTTTCAAGGACTCAAACTAGGATTTCTTCCCCCTGTCCTGGGGATTGAACCTGGGGCCTTGCATATGCTAGACAAGCATTCTACCACTGCCCTATATCCCCAGCCTTCAAGCTAGGATTTCAGAGATGATTTACTCATGCTTAGTTTTGCTAGATCTGCCTCAGTGGTTCTTCCAGTAACATCTCAGGTAAGCAACATTATACACAATTTACATGTTCTATACAGTGGATGATGATTTAACAACTCTTTACTGAAATCTCTTTAACAATAATAGTTCATATTTTGAATAAATTAAGGTCCATATAATGATTCAGAAATAAAAAGATGCCTAATTTTTGTCTTAAGTTCTACAATTACCTAGTATGTATTTCATTTTACACTTTGAAAGTGCTTTCATGTAAAATAATTTATAAGCTCAAGTCCATGATAGAAACAGTTGTAATTTCACCAAGCCTTTACAAAGAAGGAGCAGCACTACAACTAGACACCAATACCTAGAAGCTATTGGTAATTTAGGCTTTATACTTCCCCTTACACTTATGAGGTCTATTTTCTGTGTAATTTTTGGCGTTCTGCACTGACAAGAGTATGCTGCTTCAGTAACACCTATTTAAATGACACCTTCAAGTTTCTTCTTTACAACCTCCTTTGTCCTACCACTACTTAAAATTTTTTTCATTTTCTTTTTTATTTCTCTTCCATTTATAAAACTTCATGTAGAACAGCTAGCTTTTAAAACACATTACTTATTAACAAGAATGCTTCTTGGGGCCAGGGATTTAACTCAGTGGTGCCATGGCCTGCCTTGAAAGCACAAGGTCCTGAGTTCTATCCCCAGTACCAAAAAAAAAAAAAAAAAAGTGCTTCTCTGCTGCAGGGGTTGGGGGTGGCATACACCTATAATTTCAACAGTGCTCAGGAGGATGAGGCAGGAGGATCCTAAATTCAAGATCAGCCTGGGCTATACAGTGAGTTCAAGGCCAGCCTAGGCTACCTGAGAATTTGTCTCAAAAATATGTAAGAGTGCTCTTCCTGTTAAACATAATGTATTACACAGCTATTAAAAGGATTAGATAAATGAATTGGGTGTGGTGGTACATGTCTATAATTCCAGCACTTGGGAGGCTGAGGCAGGAGGACCTTCATGAGTTCAAGGCTAGCATGGGCGACATAGTGAGTTCAAGGCCAGTCTGAACTATATAACATCAACCTATCTCCAAATAAGGGGGAAAAGAAAAAAAAAACCTACAAAACCTCAGGTTGTATTATTTTTTGTTTATTTTTTGAGACAAGGTCTCACTATGTATTCTAGGCTGACTTTTAACTCACTATGTAGCCCAGGCTGGCCTCCAACTTGTGGTGATCCTCCTGCCTCAGCTTCTCAAGTGCTGGGATTACAGGCGTGCACCACTACACCCAGCTTTCAGGATGTATTATTAAATAATACTTTTAGAAAATAATTTCTTAGTTCATGCACAGAAAAAGGTGAAATTCATATATTAAACTGACAATGGTTATTACAGAAAGTGGCATTTGGAGAAGTCAATCTTTCTATATTATGTACTGCTAAAATCTATAATTTCTTTTTATTTTTGGTACCGGGGATCGAACTCGGGACCTTGTGCTTGCGGGGCAGGCGCCGGAACCACTGAGCTAAATCCCCGGCCTATAATTTATTTTTCTGTTGTCCTTTTGCAGTGCTGGGCCTTCACACACTGAGCTGTATCTAAAATACACACTATTTATTTGAAGACAGGGTCTTGCTAAGTTGCCCAGGTTATGCTCAAACTTATGATCCTCCTGTCTCAGCCTTCCTGAGTGACATGTGCCACCGTATTTGGCTAAAATGTACAAATTTAGTATAACTACATGTTGGCTGTTTATAATCAGAATTGAGGTTTAAGTATCCAGAGCTCTGTATTGACAGTAAAATGATTCTATATAAAGTTCCTAACCAGGTGTGGTGGTGCACACCTCTAATCCCAGCACTCTGGAAACCAAGGCAGGAGAATCCCAAGTTTGTGCCCAGCCTGAGCAACTGAGCTCGACAATGTCTAAAAACAAAAATCAAAAGGCTGGAGATGTAGCTCAGTGTGACAGTTCTAGATTCAGTACAAATATATATATATTTGTATATATTTGTATATTTGTATATTATCTTTTGGTTTCTCATTGTACATAGTGCCTCAGCTTGTAGTATATATCCTTTTTATGAGTCAAAGAAGTTTTGTCACCAGGTTTAGATTTGATATTATTATAAGGAGCATGTTTTACATCCTTTGTATTTGGAATTATGTTTCTAAAGAACATTGCTAACTGTCAAAACTGTGCGTAACAATGAAAATTAGATTTCATTGTATGTAGAAAACGTAACCTTTGGGATATATGAAGATAATCTACTAAATAGAAGTTGTTCATAGAATCTAGCGTTCTCATCCAAAATCTTTAGAAATTTTTTTTACAATAATGTATACATGCAAGGCCCTGAGTTTGATTCCTAGTGCCAAAAAATATATATATACACAATGTAAGCATGCATGCATTTTATATATTTATACATATACATATATATGTATTTCTTTTTATTCACATGTTTCTTTTTATTTTTAATGTAGCTACAAGAAATTTTCAAAGATTACATGTATAGGGCTGGGGATTTAGCTCAGTGGTGCCAAGCCTGCCTCGCAAGCACAAGGTTGTGAGTTCAATCCCAGATACAAAAAAAAAGAAAGAAGTGGATTTAACTTTTATTTTAGTTTTTTGAGATAGGGTCTCACTATGTATCCCAGGCTGGCCTCAAACTCATGGTGAACTTCCTGCCTCAGCCTCTCAAGTGCCAGGATTATGGGTGTGTGCCACCATGCCCAGCTGAATTTAATTTTTTTTGTACCAGGAATTGAACTCAGGGACCTTGCACTTGCAAGGCAGGCATGGAGCCACTGAGCTAAATCCCCAGCTCAACTGAATTTAATTTAAAAAATGTTTCATTTAATAAAATATATCCAAGATATCAAAATATTAATGAGATATTTTACTTTTTGGGTATCAAATCTTCAGACCCAGAGTATATTATATTTTATGCACATCTGAATTGGGGCAAGATACTTTTGTGGAAAGTAACATGCTGATTCTTAAAGAACAGTACTAGAAAACATGTACCACCATATATCCAAAACTTGCAATAAAACTACATTAAGAGAAAGTGGTATTGGTGTAAGGAACAAATACATGGATAAAACAGAATGGATAAGACAGAATAAAGTCTAGCAGGCAAAGGTGTTCATTTCATTAAATGGTGCAGTCAATGAGATATCCTTATTGGGGAAAAATAAACGAATATTGGGCTGGGAATATAGCTCAGTGGTAAAGCATTTATCTAGTATGTGCAAGGCCTTGGGTCCAGTTCTCAGCACTAAAGGAAAAAAAGAAAACAAATACAAAAACAAAAAACCCAGAGAAAATAATCTTAAATCCTAACGCATTCTACAAAAATTCAATTCTAAATGGATTGTAGATCTAAACATAAAATAAAATAATTCTTTAGGAAAAAAAAAATTT